GTAATTTTCTCACTTACATGACTAACATTTTCATTAATCACTAGGCTCTGTTTTTATAATGAATCTCTGAGTGTCATTGATCAGTAAAACAGTAATCTCAAACACAAATTGCATGCAGGTTGAATGTATGATCTAAGCATGTGACAGGCCTTATTTTTTAACAGAATAAAATAAAAATAAATTTTAGATTTCACTTCCTAAATGTTTATCAAATAACACATAAACAATGACAAAGAAAAAAATTAAAATTCATATTTATTTTCTATATAAAATCTAAGATATTTGGGTAAGGTTGGTATTTGCAAGAAATTTTTGTTGATTATACTTTGTAATACAAACATATTAATAGCTAAATATTAAATTTTTAGAGCACACATTAGTTTTGTGTAATTTAAGTCATTTAGTGTTTATTTTGTGATTTAACCACTAAATAGTTTACTTTTGCCTTACACTAAATTATGAATACTTTTTTTGGGTTGCAAAGGTGTGTAGTTTCTTATTAATCATGAATAACATGTCCCCCATAATACTTTTTACCCTTTGTTAAAGACATAGTGCCCACCAGCGGCAGAGCGCTGAACACTGGAAGTTCAGTCCGCGAATCCCGCGGACGGGCTGGCTGCATAGGCGTTTTCGTGGTTTTCCCCACGTGTAACGTGTATACGAGCCAGTTCCCCTTAGAAAGTCCTCCACGAAGGCATCCCTCCCCTTAGGCAGATAGCCCTAGTGTGCTTTGCCGTAATTAAATAAACCAAACCAAATCTAAAGACATAACTTGTGTAGTTAGATCTTTGATTTAAGAAGATGAATTTTCACACAAAAGCAACATTCAAGAGTTATGCAAAATTATAACTATTGATATAGGACAGATCTAGCAACAAGCACAAGTAAATAGGTTTTATACTCTGTACATTAATTTGTCTCCATCTGTAGAGCAATATAAACTGTGCAACCAGCTTATGATTGATGTTAAGAATGCCTACGTCAGAAGTACCATCAGATTTAGGAAGAAAAAAGAAATACCAAAAACCTCAAGTGCCACCAACAGTCATCTGGCGAACTAAATTTACTAACTGCACCATGGAGAAAGAAAGGACAGCCATATCTATTACTACCCACATCAATTGTATCAAAAGTGGAGTTCTTTCTTTTTTTACCCATATTACTTGACATACATTGACAAACCCCAATGTATTCATTCTCTTTAAGTTCAGCAGTTGTCCATGTAAACTTAATCCATATCTCTAAAATTGTAAGGATTATATTGGGAGCACAAATGAGTCTTCGGCATTTTTATCAAAAATTGGGCATTTATTCTGAAAGAATATGTTATGTTTTATTCACAGTATTGTCCATTGCTAGCCACTACATTTTCCCATCTTTCTAGCAGCATACAGATACTGCGTTGGAAGAATGCTTCATCTTTTGAGGCTATTCACAAATCAACCCTATCTTCCGTGTCTTCATGTGGTGTGACGAGCTTCCCAGACAGGCCATGCATCATCAATCAAAACAAGTAATAATCAGAATGAGCAATGTCTGGTGAATATAGCAGGAGGGAGAAAACTTCTCAAGTGTTTTCAAACAGGTTTTGACTGGTGCTGCAACATGTAGCCGAGCTTTATCATGCAGAATAATTTTGTCATGTCTAGAGTATTAGTTGGTGCTTTTTTCTTGAAGTGCTCAGCTCAGTCTCATCAGTTGTGTTTAGTAGAGAGCCCCAGTAATGTTTTCGTTCAGTTTGAGCAACTCATAATACATGAAACCAAGTTGATCCTATTATACTACTATATACACTGATGAGCCAAAGCATTATGACCGTCCCCTCATTTTTCAATGAACTTGTCTGGATTAAGTGAGAATGGTACTTAACTGCTGCTGAAGAAAGTAAGGAATCATTTTGGTACTTACTTTTGTGAGTGAGGGGAAAGCCTGCTGATCTAAGTGAATTTGATAGAGGGCAGACAGATTGTAATGGCTTGAAGACTGAATGAATATCTCAGAAACTGCACAGCTGGTAGGTTGTTCACAATCTGCCATTAGTATTTATGCAGAATGGATAAATGATGGTGAAACTAGCAGTATATGTGAAGGTGTTGGACGCACCAGACGTCCATGCATTATCAAAGAAAAAAGACATCAGAGATTGGTACAGCAAAATCGGCACCAGACAATGATTCAGCTGACAGCCCATGCAGGTCCAAGTACAAGTATTACAGAGCCTACAGTTCAGCGGAAACTGTTGGATATGGGACTGTCCAGCAGACGTCTCACCTCGCGTGCCTCTGTTGACCAAATGTCATTGTCACCTACAGCTACAGTGAGGCCGGGAACAGCAAGATTGCACCATGGGTAAGTGGATGACAGTTTGGTCAGATGCATCACAATTTCTCATTCATCACATTGATTTTTGTGTTAGGATATGCAGTCTTCCAGGCGAACAATTGCTCTCTTGCTGTACAGCAAGTCATACACAAGCTGGTGGTATTATGCTTTGGGAGACAATCTTATGGGCGGCTCTCTGAGATTTTAGTTGCTGTAAAACTCTTAAGTCAAACGTTCCTGCAAATGAAACTCATTCAGCTCAAAACTTGACATTTTCACAGGGAAAAAATATGCTGATACAAAACTGCTAATATTTCAAGGTTATGTTGTTAGCAGGTATTCAACCTTACGATATGACATTTTACATCAGATAATTTTAATCATAACTTACTGGTGGCACCATTTTTTTTTTTTTTTTTTTTTTTTCAAATGTCAGAGACTTATTTGTATTCCCAATATTTATCACAAATATACAATTGAAATACATATGTGGGCTGTTTAAAATTGCAGCAAGCAGCCAGTTTGACACCTCTGAGCTAAAAAACATTATTAAAAATTAGAACATTCATTTTAATATTTATTACTAATGTATTTGATAGATATTATGCACGTCCATCAAGCAGCTTGACATACTTCTGACTGAAAAAGGCAAGTAATGATTCGGTAAATTATATTTGTGCTAAAAAATACTCATAGCTTAGTCCTTCTATTACCATGTACTGTTTATTATCTGTATAGCCTGGCAAATAGCCAATACTAGGAACTACTATTTTAAAGGGAATAAGAGTTCTATTTTATTAAATCACACAACCTAGCAAATTTTCATTTCTAACAGATAATGTCATTTACTGTGACTAAAGTTCTTTAACCCTTTGCGGCACAGTGTGCCCGGTTTGAACAGACATAAAAATTTCCTTCTGTATACACAGAAAAAATTGTATGAAAAAGGACTGATATATATTTATAGGTTACTCTGAACGTTCTTTATTTATAATAGTGGATGGCAGCTCAACACAAATCAGTCCATATATTTTAGCCATATTTAGTTTTTTTAAGACCCTCATTTTTCAATGAAATCTTCCAGATTTTTTTAAGGTATAAAAGGAATTTTTTGAAAAGAAATTTCTATGGTTTTTTTTTTCAGGGGGGGTATGCTAATTTCCTTATTCTATATTAATTTTAAATTTTTACCTTGAAATCTTGCCTAAACTCAAACAGCGAACCTCAGGTGTTCCCAAAGCGGGCTCACCAAGACTCTAGGACAACTGAGTGACTGTATTTTTTTGTCTCTACCTCATGGTCCATCCATTGACAAAGAAAGGGGGTCACATCTGTGTTTCATTTTCTCTTTTTCTTTTGAAGGGACGTTTGGTATCAACTAACAATTGTTGGTTTTTCTGAAGGTCAAGGGTAATTTTATCAGTTAGCTGTTTGGTTTTTTTCACTAAACTTTCTTTGCTTTCATTCAAAGTTTGCTAGCACTACGTTTAATTTTTTGAGTTTGTTTTATTAATTTTATTTTATAGTTTATACTTTCTAATGTAGATATATATAGTTTTTATTTATTTATTTATTTGATTTTTCATTATTTTCCAAACGGATTGGAGAGGGCTGACCATTTTTGAAACACTGAAAGTGCTACACGAATTGCTTTCAGATAGTGAATCTGATATGGATCTTGGTACATGTGCAAAACATGCAATATTGAGTTATGCTCTTTAAAAGGTGATGTCACTTTCTTTGAAAAGTACCACCATGAAAAAAATGGACTAAAGTGTAAATATGAAATGTAAATAATGTATATATCATATACCAAAGTTATTTTTTTTCCCATTCATATGCATGTAGTCATCATATAACCAAAAGAGAGCTTTTTAGGGGGGTGTAGAGTAGCAGGTCTTCTCATGGCACACCCTGGGTAATGCTAAATCTGCCACAGTATTCAGAATCTAGTGTTTTTTAATAGCAAAATCTCTTACTCTTTTACGCGCTTCCCAGCAATGCTCATTTCAGCACTCTTTTCAAAGCCACTTAGGGCACACCCACAGAATTAAAACAGTAAATGCTATCTTCACAAAATTTTACTTGTGTACTTCTCTAGGCCTTAATTAGACTGCCTATCTTTTTTTTTAATCAAAATTCCAACTTTAAAAAGTAGCGTGTGGAGGGGGTTAATTCATCTTTATATTATTCATTCAAATTAATAGTATATACTGCTCAACAAATTGAATAATTTAAAAGCAATGTATTTTTTTAGGATCTGACAAATTATACTGTTATGTACTAACAAAAATTGTTTCTAATGCCATATATTACTAACTGTTACCTCAGTACAGAAAAATTGCTTGTATGTCACTATAAATGAATTGGTTACACTTTTTCAAATACTCTGTTTCACAGTTATTTTGGTAGCACATGGTAAGTCTGCTATATTTGGGTTTCTTAAATTCAAAGATATTAATTACCTAATTATCCATACCATTCTTCCACCCTCTATTTTTAACTCTACATTAGTTCTAAAAATTTAGTGATTTTTGCAGAGATAATCTTCTTAATTTTCTAAGAAGAATATGCTTAGAATGAATTTTTATTTAGTTTTGTAATACGACAGATTGGCAGAAATATTTTATTTTAGTACTGCAGATGTCATTTCAAGCTTTATTTTGTTTTTTAAGGGGCAATACAGTAAGCACCACAGATGAAAAAGAAGGTATAATTTATGGAGATATAGGTATATTTTCTGTTATTTTATTGTAATAAAAAATAATAATTAATACTTATTTTGCAAAACATAACATTTAAGATGACAGAAATTTAAAAAATAAAAATTCAGAAGCAATCACTTATTTAAATATTTATACAAAAATTCATTTCAGATTTGGAATATGTACATGAAGTTAGAGAACAAATCCCTATAACAAAGCAACAAAGACATGACCTTTATGATATTCAATGCTTATGTGAATTTTGAAAATATAATACAGAAACTATATACAATTTTTGTAAAAATCTTTTGTATGCATAATGAAATTATAAATTTTAGTTTTTCTTCTTGCTCTTTATATATATATGAATAAATATGTGAAATAAATGAACTGTTTCTTATGTTTAAATAAGCTTCAAATGAAAAAATAACACAGAAAAATGTTTATTACATGTACGACATATGCTACTTGAAATCAGATAAGAAATACATAACTCACTATCCAATTTACAATAACAAATTTCTGAAAACTTACCAACATATAAATTGAAAAAATAAATATTTAATATTACAAAACCTTCCTTGGGCAGACTGAACTGAAGGAAAACACTTAAAATATACATAACTACAGTAATGGCACAGATATTAAAAAGGGATGAAATGCACATAGCTGCCATTTTAAAGGACATGGTGAAATAAAATTTCAAAAATTTCTGTGCTATAAGATAAAACAACCTATGTAAGAGAGCTGGATCTCATCTAAAAGTTGGATGCTTGTGTATATAATGGAAAAACTGATTATTTGGCAGGGTGCAAGTAATACTAGATGTAATTAAGTAATTTGGGCTTGATGCCATGAAATACTTAAATGATGGCAAATACTGCCATAAGCTTCATACATAAAAAGTAATTTTGGGCTTCAAAAATTGATATCTTTAAGTGACAGTAAAACTGCTAAAAGCTTTCTGCAATACTATAGTCCAAAAAGTGAAATTAGAGAGATTAGAGTGCAATAAAGTTTCATTTAAAATTTGAACAAGCTAATGAAATAGATATAGCACTGGCTATTTAATGTACAATGTGCTATACGATAAATAAAATGTCCAAATATTTGAACAGTTTCACATCGACTTAGGTGCATCCCAGCCGTTAAAAAATAGAATTTATATTATGTTTAATATTCTGTACAAATCTCTTTACATTATAGATTAAAGCAAAATAACCTGATGATTTAATCTATTTAAAATTTCCCAATACCAATGAAATAACTAATGTTTAAAGAATGGCACGTTATTAGCAACAGGAAAAAATATAAATGATTAAAATTAAGCAAATTTTAATTCCATTTATATTTAAATAAATAAAGCCAATAACACTAATTTTAATATCATGAGCTAATTACATGAACACAAATAAAAAAAGCATACTTAAAAAATTAAAAATCCATCCAAAACTAAATTGCATGATTTTACTTTTCTAATATTCATAAAATCTTTGAATTTTTCATATACAAATATACAGATCAAATGCTATCAACAATGAGAATGCTTTACAATATGAAATGAATTGTGCTATTACAGCCAGAGATTTACAATGAACCTAAGTAACAAGTGACTTGTCAGAAATTTCTGACTTTAACATTCAAATATCTCCTACTCAATTAAAATATTTAATAAGTGTCAAACCCTGTAAAACAAATTCAATTACGTCAATCAACATCAAGAGCACAGCACATTCCAGAAACTAAGTTTAAAGAAGGACAAGCAGTATCCACCAATAGGAAAAAGAAATGGCACAAAGTGGTTTAAAAAGCAATAACAACAACCACTCTATTTTCCAAACTTTCTATCTAGCTATCACAACATTTAAAAGGTTAAAAAAGGGATGGGATTGGAAATTTTTAAAATCTTTGGTTTGAAGAGACAAAACACATAGCCTATATAAGTCAGTAAGAACCAAAAAGTATATAGATATTTGGTTCCTTCATAAAATCTCTTTTAAACATGAACCCACAACTTACACAGCCCAGCAATATATGCTAGATGGGCATTCAAACAAGACAGGCATCATGCCTTGTCCCCTATTTCTACTACTCCCAAAATGGCTTCAACAATAGCTCCTCCTCAACAGCAGTGTGCTCTCACTACAATGTGCAATGTGCAAGCCCATCAAGGCTGCAGCCATAAAAATGGCACTAAATTTTTTTTTTTCAGATTCCATCAGCATTTATCCAAGTCTTTTCATCGGGCTGGATAGTTGCTCAGGCTAGTTGTAACAGCATTTGGCCAAGGTCGGGAAGTCACCACAACAGCTAACTGCTGTTGGCTGTAACAGATAATTAAAACATTATGTTAAGATAATAGAAGGAAAAAATTTGATTTCAAAGTAGTTAAAAAAGTTTTACAAACTTTTTAGCTGTTTATGTATAATAAGTGAAAATTATTCAGTCATGGTAGGAATTATCAATTGCAGCCAAAATAGGAGAAACCCAATTTTTCTTTGCATGATTTTTAATTTTCATATGTATTTTTAAATATGTCACTGAAAAAAAGGTAGATCTGGTTTTAAACATTATTATTAAAAAAGTATTCGGCAGACCTTGATTATTTTTATTGCAAAGTAAGTTTACCTTTTTTTTAACAGTATAGTAAATAAATTTGAGTAAGAATTCCATTAATTACCATAATGATATCAAGATAATTATTCTGCTCCCATCTATGTAAGCTGGATCATTGTCTAGTATAGTTATAGTAAAGGGATAAAATGATGCATTCCCCCCCAGTAAATGGTTATATTCTATAAGTTAGTCGAAAATTGCTTTGAACAGTTATAACAAATAATGTCACAGAATATGTACTATGCTTCTTGTTGCAATAACTGGTATCATACAAAGTGGCTGGCTAAAAGCAGTGGTGGTATTGTTATTAAGCAAAACTTATTTATTTATGTTAAGGTTACCTCGCCTGACTTACAGTCTCTTGGACACTTTCTAATTATTTTAGCATAAAAATTAAAAAGATAGACAATAAAACACAATATATTGATTTAAAACCTGGGTCTATTTTTCTCAAAAATTTAATACAATCAAAAGTCGTTAATCCGGACTCGTCGAGACTTTGGCGATTTCGGTTTATCGATTTTTCCGGATTATAGATGATCAGTTTAAATCTGGTAAAATGGCATGCAGAAATTATAAAATTAAAAATATGAAACCATAATTTACGAAATAAAGAACAATTATGATCTAAAGGGTATCAAAATTTACAAAAAAAAGCTTAATATTTATTTGTTTACTTTATTAAACATTTCTTTCAATGTAAGATGTTTAAGTTGCTTCGTTTTTTATGTGATAATACATTTTCTTTAATTCTATAAACAGACATAATTTCCTGTTCAGTTACAAAGTTCCGCTGTTCAAGTCCTATAATTGCTGTGTCGAGAATACTGACTAATTTGTCAATCGAAATTTTTTCGTTTTCAATAACCTCTGTCACTTTCTTCACTATCGGAAGAGAATTATAATGACGAGGAATTTGATTTAAATCATATCAAAGATGGAGTACATCGAAATGAAATATTACATTTAGTAAGGAATTATAAGCCAAATAAAATAAAAACATCTGCCCTGAAGATAAGGATAGTGCTGACAGATCAACTTTAATTCATTGCGCGCCGCGGCGTTAAAGATAAACAAACGTTAAAGTTTAGATAAACAAAGGATATGCCTTTATCCATTTTTTGCAGCAATTCCACTTTTTGTTTAATAACCTTCGAAACATACTTTTGCTTTGTAGATCCTTTACATATTAGTAAATATATATCAGAAATTATATTTGACATAATCGAAAGTTCAAGCTTACTTTTATAAAATTGCTCTAACAGTCTGCAAAAATAATAATCTGGATCCAATTCGAAGATTAAGGAACAACGCAATCTGCAACATTAACTGAAATAGATAATTAGATAATTTTAGCTTAGCTTATCCTGTCCGTTATACATTAAACGCGCATTCGTAAACGTATTTTGCACACGCAAATTTGCAGCGGTAAAGGTCTTACGCGCATGCGTCAATGCTTCGCATGCGCAGAAAGTTTGTAGCTTTGAGGTCCGGATTATAGATCATTCCGGATTATTGGAGTCCGAATTAATGACTTTTGACTGTACAGTGGTCTCAAACTCAAACTCCATGCAGGCTGAACGTGCAATTTGAAAATAGCTAAAAGGGAAGTTATTTTTTTTTAACAAATAGAAAAATTTCATTAACAAAATTAATAATATTTATCAAAGCACATAAACAGTAATAGTACTACTGCAAAAGAAAAAATTTGTATTTATTTTCTAAAATATAAAGTTTGGTACACAGATAATGAAAACTTTCTAAGCTTTCAGAGAAAATGTTTCTAGAGGGACAAACCTTGAGAATAAATAAATAATGATAATCTAGTCTCTTTCTCTTATTCTTATATTTTATTCAACACATAAATAAAAATACATGTATTAGCATGTAAATAATAATAAACTTCTTTATTTGTTACTAAAGCCTGACACTTTATGCTGTTTCGATTCTCATAAAGTTGAAACAAATTACTAGATATTACATTTATCATGGACTGCAGATGGTCTAGTCAGTTGGGTTCCTTTCTTATTGATTTTAAACTGTTGGAGGGGGTTGGAGCTGTTCACATAAAAATATATTCTCAAACAAAGCAATAATTCTTAAACAAAAAAGTTATTCTTAATTAAGCTTTATTTATTTCTTAACAGAAGTACAAATCAAAGTCAAGCAAATCTGTATCTTCAAATCTCTGAATAAGATTTACACTGAAGTGACAAAAGTCACGGGATACCTCCTAATATTTTGTCGGTTCTCCTTTTGCCTGGCGAAGTGCAGCAACTCGACGTGGCATGGACTCAACAAGTCGTTGGAAGTCCCCTGCAGAAATATTGAGCCATGCTGCGTCCATAATTGTGAAAGTGTTGACGGTGCAGGGTTTTGGGCACGAACTGACCTCTCGATGATGTCCCGTAAATGTTCGATGGGATTCATGTCGGGCGATCTAGGTGGCCAGATCATTCGCTGGAATTGTCCAGAATGTTCTTCTAACCAATCACAAACAATTGTGGCCCGGTGACATGGCGCATTATCATCCATAAAAATCCCATCGTTGTTTGAGTACGTGAAGTCCATGAATGGCTGTAAGTGATCTCCAAGTAGCTGAAGGTATCCATTTTCAGTCAATGATCGGTTCAGTTGCACCAGAGGACCGAGTCCATGCCATGTAAAAACAGCCCAGACCATTATGGAACCACCACCAGCTTGAACAGTGCCTTGTTGACAACTTGGGTCCATGGCTTCGTGGGGTCTGCGCCACACTCGAACCCTACCATCAGCTCTTACCAACTGAAATTGTGACTCATCTGACCAAGCCACTGTTTTCTATTCGTTTAGGACCAACTGATATGCTCACAAGCCCACGAGAGTCGCTGCAGGCGATGTCGTGCTGTCAGTAAAGGCACTCGAGTCGGTCTTCTGCTGGCATAGCCCAAGGAAGACAAATTCCGACGCACTGTCCTATCGGACACGTCCTTCGTACGTCCCACATTGATTTCTGCGGTTATTTGACGCAGTGTTGCTTGTCTGTGAACACTGACAACTCTACGCAGGCGTTGCTGGTCTCGGTCGTTAAGTGCAGGTGGTCGGCCACTGCGCTGTCCATGGTGGGATGTTATGCCTGAAATTAGATACTCTCGGCACATTCTTGACACTGTGGATCTCGGAATGTTGAATTCCGTAACGATATCTGAAATGGAATGACCCATGCGTCTAGCTCCAACTAACCATTCCACGTTCAAAGTCTGTTAATTCTCGTCGTGTGGCCATAATCACGTCAAAGCCTCTTCACATGAATAACTTGAACACAAATGAAAGCCCTGCCAAAGCACTTCGCATTTATACATTTTCTATGTGATACTACTGCCATCTGTATATTTGCATATTGCTATCCCATGACTTTTGTCACTTCAGTGTATATCACAATATAAATTAATTAGCTTCATTTACAGACTTTCTGGTATATTATTCATGTTTGTTTTTAACAGCAAGAAAATATTGCAAACTTCGATTTCAAATTACTAAAATCTTAAAATATCTGCAACAAATACATGATTGAAATGTATATGTGGGCTGCATGCAGCCTGCTATTTTAAGACTACTGACTGAATATAAATTTAACATTACTATAGATTAAATAAGTAAACGAGTTAGTTAAAATTTTAACAGTGTAGTGGTTTTAATAAAAAAAAATTGAATTTCAACTAATTAATTAATGCATCATTTTGCAGTACAGAGTATTTTGATACCTGCCTAGCAGGTATCAAAATTATATTCTATGGTTTCCATTTATTATGCTGCACTATATCTACTGTGACTGTAGCAGTGACAACACACAAATATTTTGTAACTGTGTATCACAAAGCCCTGCTGATGGCCAAATGATTAAGACTGCTTGTTGAATGCAAATAGTTTGACTTGGATTCAAGCCCAGGTGAAAAGGCTGCATAGCCCATTTTTCACAGGTGTACGGTGAATGTGAGCCAATTTTTCTTAGAAAGTACTCCATAAAAGTATCCCTCCTTATAATCAGATACCTTGATGTGCTTTCTGGCATTCAATATAACCTTACCTGTATGCCACAAAATGCACTGTGCTGTCTGTTATATTATTGCCATCTTTTTTCACTTTTAACCAGTTCATTGCAAATTCATTAGTTAAAACAATAGTCTTGTAACTACAGCAAAAAAAATGTTTTTTGCATGTCAAGGTTATTACACTGCTAACTTCAAGTCAAAACTTTGACATTTTCTCACTGATTTGGTATGGGCACTAAAAAGACTAATTTACAATAAAGCTTTTACTCGCAGATCTTGGAATTATACTGGTTTTAAATTTCATTTATTTTATGCCTTTATGGCTTTAGTTCAAGATTTATTACTTTTTGTCTTGTTTTATATATATATATGAGTCGTTCACTGCATGAATTGATTAACTCCACTTTCTACAATATCTTAAATTTAAGAGTTTCAACTTGGTTCACACATAGTCTTTTTTTATATTTATAATAAATTTCCCAAACAAACACCATTTTGATTAACTCCGTAATCTAATGTAAATCATTGCAACAATTAAACTCAAATTGAATAGCACACGCTGAATGATAACAGTAATTTTTTAATGCCATTTTACCTAAATTAAAGTAACATAAATTAATCAGTCACAGTCTAGTTGCTGCAGAATCAGGTATTGTGTTTGAATTATCATAAAGAATTATTTCAACTTGATAGTCATTTTTAAGTAAATAAGTATTTTATCATTATTATCAGTGGAAAACAGTGGACCATCTGATGATTCCCCAACACGATTTATTAACAGAAAGTCTGGCTCAAACAGTTACGTTTCTCTTTGGATTCTTCTGACAGCAACAGTAAAAATATTGTACCAAACACACTGATTGGGAAAGAAAAAAGTTGTAATCCTGATAACTCAACCCAAAATTTACAAAAGCATAAGAGAAAAAAACGTTTGGCATACAAGAATTGAGGAGGAAATATAACGCTTGTAAAAACATTTGTCGATTTCATATGCAAATGTCATCAGAAGTGCAATCAAAAAATTATTTCGGATGGGAGAGAAGTTGCCCTGAAGTTTTACAGTTTACATAGTCAACTTGAGCAAAATATTTTTTATGAGGTTGTATTAAAGAAATAAAAAGAAGATGCCCACAAATAACACTAAAGAACCAAGATCACATTTTTTTACATATTATTTTCAAAAAGACCAACATGATATTCCCGTTTGCAAAAAATATTCTAGGGATACTTATCAGGTGAGTGACAGGTGGATTACAAATGTTATTCAAAAGAACAAGTTGTGTACTTAGTTGATCAGCGCAACGGCCATGTTGCAAGCAATAAAATAGATGACACACGTTATAAAGCATATAGGAATCGTTTCCAGCCTAAGCTAGCTAATGTACCAGAGCTCATAATTCAAAATGACAATATTTAAATCCTGAATTAAATATTAAGAAAATGTATGAACTATACATCACACAATGCAAAAAGAAAAATGTAGCACCAGAAATAAGTGAAAGAAAGATATCACTATAAGGTATTGTCTACAAAATTTAATTTACATTTTAAACATACATCTAAGGATACAATGCCCAAACTTGCAATTCTTTGAAAATAAAAATTATATCTTCAGATGGCAGAAATTGAAGAGACTGAACAGGCTCTCGTCATATGGCTGCAGTTCAAATGGCAGCATCCGAGAAAATCTCCAGATTTTCTTTCAACTTAGCAAAAGCTTTAGTCTTTCCTAAACTGACCACATCTATTGCTCATTATAAGTGAAACTCATATATTTATAATTTCAGTTGCCATGATTTCAATAAAAATAAAAACCACATATTTGTTTGGCCAGAAACTGAAAGATCTTCTCAAGGTCTTAAATTTCATCATGCCTAACAAGAATTACATTTAAAATTTTGAAAAAGTAATAACATTCAGATTTGTGTACCAGACAAAACAGAAATATTAAAACTGTCTAAGATTATTGAAATTTGTTCAAAGTACAGAAATAAGAGTTGAGTCATTTGAAATGAAATTTTTGGCAAGTCGACTTAGCTATTTGCCATTACTGAGTCTCATGCAAAAAAAAAAAAAAAAAAATTAATACATTTTTTTCACTAGATGAATTGGTACAATATAATCAAAATGTAAAAAGAAAGCATCATTTAAGGTAATACAAATGACTCACCAAGATTTCCCCCCCCAACAACCTTTATAAAATTCAGTCATTTATAGAAAAGTAACAGTTAAAGGTTTCCAGTAAATTGGCTAAAATGCACTGAATAAAGTTAGAAAGGTCCAAATCACACCTCAAACAATTCAAATGTGACTAAAATGAAGATTCAGAATTTAATGCCATTAATGAAAGTATATCTGTAGCAGCTAGACCATTAAGTTTAAAAACTAATAAGAGTTGAGTCATTTGAAATGAAATTTTTGGCAAGTCGACTTAGCTATTTGCCATTACTGAGTCTCATGCAAAAAAAAAAAAAAAAAAAAAAAACATTTTTTTCACTAGATGAATTGGTACATGATATAATCAAAATGTAAAAAGAAAGCATCATTTAAGGTAATCCAAATGACTCACCAAGATTTCCCCCCCCAACAAACAACCTTTATGAAAAATTCAGTCATTTATAGAAAAGTAAACAGTTAGAAGGTTTCCAGTAAATTGGCTTAAAATGCGCTTGAATAAAGTTAGAAAGGTCCAAACCCCAACTCAAACAATTCAAATGTGACTAATAATGAAGATTCAGAATTTAATGCCATTAATGAAAGTATATCTGTAGCAGCTAGACCATTAAGTTTAAAAACTGTAGATCTGCCTTTAATATATACTGTGACGGAGGGGGGAAAGGAGAGACATGATGGATCTGCTAAAATTTATTCTCCTATTAAGCAAGATTACTATAAAAACTTCAGAACAAATCAAAATGGTGAAACCTCACATACAGCTGATGAATTAATCACAAATAATGTTATAACAGAACTTAAAATATTCATTTTTATGAAAGATATGTAATAAAAATATATAGTAAACTTTTCTGAAATATAAACTTCAGAATTTGAATGCTGAATTTAACTTTTTGTCAAATCAATCAATTCCCCCAGTCAAATGAAAGCTGTAACATTACTGACAATTAGTTTGGGGCTTATTAATTTTATACAGTGTTAGATGAAAGCTACATCTGTATTTATGCATTCTACAATATTTATTTGAATCTATATTCAGTGAATTTTAAAAAACAATGTACAATATTTGATATCATTTATCCTTTATTTGTTTTATGGAATTAATCGATTTGTGCAGTGAATGGCTCTCATTCATACATTTATAAATTAATGATAAGATTATTTGTTTATAACTGAATAAAAATTCTAAGAAATGAAAGAAAATCTACAATGGGTTCTTACCTAATTTGTTGCTGTTGCTGGTAATGAGCAAGAAGTTGATTTAATTGTATTTGATCCAGGGGTGCAGTGTCAAGCACTGGGGTTGGGGATTCAGGAGGAGCTATGCTGGGAGATGCTGGAGCAGGAATAGGGGTTGTTGAGGGAGAGGGATTGACTAATGTAGCTGGAGTAGAATGAGAAAGGCGGGTTGACAGAAATTCACCAGATGACCGATATTCTGCAAAATTATGAGTCAACTCAGACATTGCTTGTGTTAGGAGATCTGCAGTAGGTAATCCATCAGGATGAGTTGAAACCTATTATAATAAATCTGATTAGAAATCACATTCATACAATTTAAATAATAAACATTAATTTCTATTCAAAAAAAAAAAAAAAAAAAAAAAAAAAAAAAAAACAATCATTTACTTTAAAAGCGATTTTCTTTTGGAGATGTAATATACCCCCAAAACCTTTTCCCGTTATAACACTGCTTGATATAGCACAGTTTTTGATACAGATGTTGCCTAAAAGCACAGCATAAATAATGCAAAACTGTAGCAATTCTTTAAGAGACACTGAAAGTTGTAGTTTTCTGATGAATTGGTTTGACAATCAAACAGTGGTTTCCATTAAAGCTATTATCAGAAGTTTAACATTACAGAAAATAAAAAAAAAAAACTGGACTACAGATGAGCCACAGAAATATATGATCTCTCTGCAGTCATATGTGGGAAAAAAATATATAAATGAAATTTCACATTAATGAACAGACTTGTATAAGATGAACAGAAAAAAATTACATAACTAGGAAAAAATACTTTTGTATTACAGTACAACTCCAATAATCTGTACTCCCAACTAATTGACTAGCATTAAAACTGACTAAAAGGAATCAAGTTTACACATTTTCTTAAGTATTGGGTTAGTCCATAACACATTAAGAGTATGCATGGAATTCACTATGACGCATTTACTAAAACAATACAATTTTGAACCTGTTTGACTAACATATTATTCAGTTCATCACCAACTTTTGTAAATATCGAATGCATTTTAGTATCCATAGAAGATGAATATATATAATCAGTATAAACGTGCTGTGCTACATTTTTTATTTTTGTGTAGTGAATCTGCCAGGTTTGCAGTGATAAAAATTAATAGTGTACATGGTGAACACTCTATTAGTGTAAGGGCTGCCCAGAAATGGTTTAAAAAAGCAGCATTGATGACGGAACCCCGTTCAGGACGTTTTGAACTGTTAGAATCAAATCAAACAATAATTCAGAAGTTTATAGTGAACAACTTTGCTGTCTAAACTCAGAATTGATAGAAAAAATGCCCACGATTGGTGAATATCAAGAAAGTGTTGTTTCATCATGATAACGCTAGACCATATATGGCTCGAACAACACTGCAAAAAATTAGAGAATTTAATTGGGAGCTTTTAACACATCCTTACTCCCCAGATATTGCCCTAAGTGATTTTCACTTATTTCGTACCTTGCAAAATATTTTACTTGGAAAAAAAAAATTAAATTCTAAACAGGATGTACACAAAGAACTTTCAAGTTTTTTTGCATCAAAACCTGAGTCTTTCTACAGCAATGGCATAAAAAAGCTGCCTGTAAAATGGCGAGACATTGGTGATACTTAGTTTAATAATGATGATTGGAGACATTGGTAGATATTGATACTTAGTTTAATAGATAATGGAGGAAAATATATAATTGACGAAAATGTTAAATTGTTTTTTTTTTTTTTTTTTTTTTTTTTTTTTTTTTTTTTATATTATTATTTAAAAATTTACCAAAAAAGTGCACAAATTTATGGACTGACCTAATATGATTACAAATCTCATTCCTTAACATAACTTTTTTAATTTATCTTAAATCTAAAGGAAACGTTATCTAAAAATTATTTAATCATTTAAAATTTAACTAAAATTAAACCCTGGTTTAATGTTATTTAATGTAACTGTCAAGATGAAACTCAAATCTTTTTTTTTAAATATACCATATAATCAAAACTATCTTAGTTCAATCTCACTGTTCAAATCATTTGGCCTTACGACTTCTTAACTTGCATAAGTTCTAAATTTGTTCTCAGCTTTTTCTTTTGCATTTTTAAATCAAGTTAAAATTTCCTTTGAAACTGATAAATTTTATTTTGTGATTGCGCATTTGGCATATAAAATGCTACGTGGCAAGTCTTGTACGAAGTTAATATAATTTGTTTTATATATGCAATTCAGCAGCTAAATCTTCAACAAACTATTCTATTAAATTATGTACTTAATATTATTCTGCCAATTCTAAAATTTTATTAAACATTAAGATACTTTCTTTGATATTATGAATATATATTCTGATATTTAATTATGCACATAATACAAATAAAAAATTATATGCCAAATATTAGAATGCAAGATTCTTAAAACTCACCACTAAGGCATCTTTATCTACATAATGAATCTTCCGTTTACTGGCATCAATAAGAACAGCTGCAGTCTCACGGCTGAGACCAGAAGATATACTTTCTATCACTATCTGTCCTGTAACCTGTGTACCTTGATCACACACTGGTTCCACCTAAGAAGTTTTGATTAATTAAAAAATTTATTGAATTCTAAAAATAATGAGGATTCAATGCATATTTCAAAGACTACATTCTCTTATTATCAAGATAAAATGTTTCTTGGAAGTAAGAGAAGAAACAACAGGAGGGCAATGTCATATACATGACAAAAACAAATTATTTTACTTCCTTAAAAATTTATGAAATTACTCAATCAAGTTATTATTTGATACCAGGTACAAGAAACTAAGAATCAAGACAATGTATAATAGTGATATTCAATCACTATCTTTCTAAGCATACTGGTGTTTATCTTAAACTCTAAAATACAAACCAATACGCCATTTCCAACTTTAAAATTTGTAACTGAAAAATCCCATCTCATCTTCAATTAGCAGTATTTTTTTTTCCCCACCACAAAATGCTCTGGTATTGTTTCAAAGTTTTGAGTGGTCAATAAAAAATAACAATAGAGTCAAAAATACCCCTTAAAAACATATTCTCCCCAAAAAAAGAACATGACACTGAATTTAAAATACAGCATAAGACCAAAAATCTGCCAAGACTTAAAATATACATAGCCTCTCAAATATAAACAACAAAATTTGAAATTAATAAGACCATGAAACCTTTAAATTAAAAATCTGTTTTCGCGTACACGTATGATTGGGTGACACAACTTATGGCTATATTAACTGACCATAAGCAAGAAAAATCTGATCATTTAGAAATGCTTAAAAAATATAGTTTGATAAGGAAAATCATTATTTTTTATATTGTATAAAATAAAAGAAATAAAATTTTAAAATCCAAGTATTCTAAAGTTTTAAAACTTACTACAATGAACCAGAAGTTTGAAAATATACTTAATATCTTTTAATTCCTCCCCCTTTTTTTTGTTTTGCTCTACAAAAACACTATAAAGATATTAATTGCTTCTACATGCTTTTCTAATTTTATTTCACTACTCATCCTTTTTTTTTACGCCTAAATCTAACAATTTTCTTTTATGACCTCAAATCTGGAAATCCCAAATTATGCAGATTTCTGGTCTTCTACTGGTCATTACAAAATTTTAATATAAAAAAATAATTAAAATTGCTGAACAATCCTTAGTATTAAAACTAACTAAAAGGAATCAAGTTTACACATTTTCTTAAGTATGATTAAAAAATCTCATTCCTTAACATAACTTTTTTTAATTTATCTTAAATGTTATCTAAACATTATTTAAAATTTAAATAAAATTAAAGCCTGGTTTATTGGTATTTAATGTAACTGTCAAGATCAAACAGAAATATTTTTCTAAATATACCATATAATCAAAACACAAAATGTTCGACTTTAGTTATCCAAGATGTGCACTTAAATATTTAATTAAAATCCTAAACGACATTTCAGTGAACTTCAGGCAAAAAAAGTAGTACCTTAGTATTGTTGGCAACATAGCTCAGAGACAGCATATCCATGTGTTTCTTTCGTTGATGCTGTAATAACTTAGCTTTGCTAGCATACTGCTTGTGGCACCAGCTGCAGTGGTGGGGATGAGTAGTAATGCTTCCAACAGTTTGTGAAAAAGTGGGATTTGGCATACCTGGGATTTCTGGAACTCCTCCCTACATGAGAAGAAAGACAAAAATATTAAGAAACTGCTTAAGGGCTACATACCTCAGACATAATAATGCTCCAAAAATATAATGGTTTAAACCAATTCTCATCCTTTTTCAATTTATATATCCTTCAATATCCCATTTGCATAAATTATGTTTTTCACATTCATAATCAATATTTAAAATTAAAGCTAATTTTTAATTAATTAGTCCAAAGAGGCAATTTATCCTGAAGGACCATTAATTTTGTTTTGCCATTTTGTGTCGAAAGCCTTAAAAGGCTGTATCACTTTTGAAATCGTTGCCGGCATATATTATCGCCGTCTTATTTTTAAAGAAATTAAATAATGAAGATCTGCATAAATGTATGCATGTTTCTCACATTGTGATAAAGCAACGGTACCTAGAGTCATCAAAATTTGAATAATGTTATCTTCCATAGAATATGGGCATGTGAAAGCCCTAATTTGAATTTGAAATTTGTTGTATTATCGATTTCAGATTTTGTAACACTTCAACGAATTTTTGATTAAAAAAAATAAACGATTTCAAAGCGAGCAATGGCTGATGATAAATCAATGAAATCAGCTTAAAAATTTATATACACCGTCTGTAGTTAGATTCCATGCCAACATTTATCTTTGGCATTATGTGGTATCTTGGTTAGAAAGTACCTGAGCATGATAATAGCCTGATGCTCTATGACAAGTTTAAGAATATTTTCTCCGTTCACAGATTGTAATGCATTTTTATGAAATAAAAACACATTTCAAAAAACAAAATCATTTTATATAGTAAAAAACACATACAGAAAAACATATTGTAAAAAGTCAGTTACAAGAAAAATTACCTTTCTTCGGTTACTCATAGGAAGTTCTGCACCAGGATGATTTTTTAATATATGAGCTTTTCTCTTAGAGCTAGATTTGTAAACTTTTTCACAATACTGGCAGTAATAATCTCTGGTCGTTTTTAAAATAGGAAGATTCAGTTCAGGAACAGATTCTGGTCTAATATCGGGATGTCTTTTGGCAAGATGGTTTACTAACATTCCCCTTCTTTTGAATCCCAATAAGCAAGTATGACACTTATAAATGAAACGATGATAATCAGTAGGCGATACCTAAGCACAATATAAACAATTAATAACACAGATATATAAATAAATAAATGCAAGGTGGTGATAAATTACTCAGCAAATTTCAGTGAGGAGGACTACACGAACTAAATAATATATGACTTGCATTATTCATCAAATTATGTAGCAAACAGTTTTTGAAACATTACTAAATTCTGAAACACCTTTATTAGTCCTTTTTAGGGGGGGGGGCAACATATACATTATTCCAGTTAAAACTTTTGTCACATGTTCCTCAGCATTTTCGGCATTCTAATGACATCCATGATTCGTTACTTAAGTTCAAAAGTATAATGAAATTTAGTTATGAAAACATAATTTTTTACCATCCAGTGTATAAAGAAGTCCCCATAATACCCCTAAGCTTCTCTGAAAGGGAGATGATTAGAAAAGACCATGTTTAAGTAACAAATTATACAGCAGTAATGAAAATGAATAACTTATTAGAAAAGTCATTAAAAAAATAAAGCCCAACCAAAATGCTGGGGAATACATCGTAACAGACTGTATATTGACTGAAATATAAAACAAATCCATACAGATTTGCTTTAAATGTTAACTCGTGTTAATTTTTTAATGCTTGAGTGGCTGCATTATTTAATATGTAATACAGTAAACCTTTGCCTAACCTGTGTTTGGGGGGGGGGAATCATTAAAACATTGAGCATATAACAAAATTACATTCCACAAAATTAACTTTCTATGAAAAAAACAAGTTATTGTTCAGATTAAGAAAAGTATGTATAATTTATACACACCTCAGTATTACTGTATTCAAAAAGGAAAAATGAAACAAATGTTAATTGAAAAGAATTTCCTTTTCTATTTAATAAGTAGGTACTTAATATGATGACAATGCCTGATGCAATTCATTAAATGTCTTGTAGTAAGGAGTGCAAACTTTTTTTGATACCTCTCATAAAGTGTCCTCTTCTTTCTTTATTTGAGTCAATCTATACTATAAAATCACAAAGATTATGTACCCTTTTTATCAATTTATTTAATTTCTTGTAAGTTAATGGTTTTTTTATCTTCCTTACTGTTGCAGATTTCACCATCAACTGGTTATAAGATCACCCAATTCTTCATTTGACACTTCATGATCGTCACTCTTGACTAATTCTTTGATTTCTCGTTCTTCCATACCTGCAGCTAGCTCATTTGCTGCCTACTGATTTTGCAGTATGTACATTTTTTTTTTTTTTTTTTTTTTTTTGCTTCATTTTCAATCAGTGGAAATCTTTCAAAACTGTTGACTATTTTTTGCAAGCAGTGATGCCAAGAAGCATTCAATATTGATGAATTAACTTGTTGCATTGTGATTTTAATCATTTCTATGCAAAGTCTTATGTTAAATTGTTTCCAAAATGCCATTAGTGTGCCTTGCTTACCTTTAATGCTTTATTGCAGTGATGCAAATGTGCCTTACATAATAGGCTTTGAATGTTTTTGTGATTTCTTGATCCACTCGTCGGATTAAGGAAATGGGTGTTTGGTGGAAGAAACAAAACATCTATATTTGGATGCAATGTTGTGAGGGCTTCAGAACCATGTCCTGGAGCATTAATGAGAATTTTAAAGTTTAGATTTTGGTGTTCTAAAAAGTGTGATGTCTTTAATGAATGAATTTTCAAACCAGTTATTACTGCAATGCAGGCGAAATTCTGCAGAGCAATTCTTATAATTTATATTCATGTGTTGGACAAATTGAATGCAGATAATTTAGATAACACATATGCAGAAAATCATATTCCACAATGGTTTACCTTAAACAAGAGGTTATGTCATGTTTACACCATTCACAATTCATCACTCAAATGTGCTTAGTAATTTATAACCATATTGAATGTTTTAAGATTTATTCTACATACAAGAAATTTTATCCGTATTAATAAAATAAACAATGTATGTTTAGTAAAAGAGACCTACTTTTGGGATAAACTTTTTTGAACCAGATGATTTGGAGTTTTTGGCATTAACTTTGGCTTCTCTATCTGGGGCATGCATACGCTTCATGTGTTCCTTAAGTTTGTCTTTCCTTTTAAACTGTTTTCCACAATTTGCACACAAAAATTCTCTATGGTCAGAATGTCGTAACATGTGCAACTTTAATTTATCTGGACGAGGAAAAATTTTTTCGCACTTATCACAAGGATATCTTCTTTCCGAATGAAATGCTCTAATATGCTTGCGAACCTGATTATATTCTTCAAAAACCTAAAAAATAAATAAAATGCTGCAACTTGCTTAAGAGCAATTTAACACAAAAAAATTTTAGAAACTATTTTTATACCATATATTTCATACTCTCGGTTATACATTTGATTGCATTTTTAACTGATTGCATTTGAAGCTCAATTATTAATTAAAAAATTATATTTAATGTTAAGATTAAGATGCTTAGAGTCATTTTTATGGAAAATATTATGGCATTAAAATGATTTAAAAGAATGACAGATCAGCCAAATGAAATATAGCTCATGCACAGCGAAAAGCAAAAGTGATTACGCAAAATGACAAATTGTAATATGAACAATTTTTATCTAAAGTTCAACAATAAAAGAATAAACAGTGGCTATGCTCTTGTACAGAAATGCAAATGAAATCAATCATCAGAGCTAAACCTATATATTTTTTCACCTGAACCAGAGAGGTAAAAGACACCCTTTTACATGTCTGGCCTATTTGGGGAGGGGATGCACCAATTTCTATTAAAATCTTTAAAACCGCATATTATTTTGTGATTCAACTTCAGATTAGAAATTTAACAGAAATTTATTTATTGATTTCAATTAAAATAAAACTTAATAATAAGAAGCTACAGTTATAATTTTTAATTCAGTTGCTAACTACGTTTTTAATAGATACAAAGCATCTCAAAAGTATATTTTCTAAAAATATTTCTTAAATTTGGAACAGAATTTCATTACTTTTATTATCTTCCTTACTTGTATGTAAAATTAATTATTTTATTACTCATTATCACTTTGTTTATAAAAATTTTAGAACTTGTTATTACTACATTTACAAGAAATTGTAGTAGAGTTAGTAAATTTTCCTTCCATATGTACTTTTCGGTTATTCTCAATAATCAATGGCAAATTCTTCTGCTAATTGAAGTAAAAAGAATCTTATCTCAATCTATTTTCTCCTTTTATTTCTTAATATATAATCCAGGCATTATGCCAACTAAATCGAATTTACAATGCAAATGCCCAAATGTGCATGGACCTTATACAATATGTAGAATATACATGCACATTATATTTCATAATCTGCAAACATTGTAAAAACTGACTTCCCCCCCAGTTAAACTTGTCATAATAGATATACACTACATATCTTTATCAGAATAAGCAAAAGAAAAATTAATGTTAAAAAACTGCTAGCATATATCATAAACTGAGAACTTTCTTATCGAAAGCTTGTAACTGATCATTTTGATCAGTTTTGATATGTTTCTAAAATTTTACTGGCTTCTTGAAGCAAAAATCACTCAATGTTTCACTCATTGCATGCAGCTTTTATTTTGATTGTTACAATATGAAAACTGATATATGTATTACTCTTCTAGCAAGTGAACAATCATCACTTCTTTCAAAACAAGCGCTTGCATATATAAGTAGTAAATGCATCCAAAGTTTTATTTTATTGATTATGATTTTTATGCTAATCAAATAAACAAATTATACAATTAATACCCTTTAAAAGCACGAATGCAAATAATACATAAATATCTTTTTGATATATAGTGACATTACTTTCCAGTGATTACCCTAAAGGCCAGAAGGTACCGAGAGATTTCATCATACTAAATTAGTATATACACAATTAGTAAAACATCATACTAAATTAGTATATACACTAATATATTGTATATATATATATTTAGTGTATTTGTATATACACAGTGTGCATATATAGATTATTAAATAGCATATTTTTAATATACGAAAAACAAACACATGACTGAATATTTTGAAAGAATTACATAACTTTTTTTAATTACGAATGAAAAATATGACAAATGAAATTCATAATAATAATAATAATGTATTTAAAATAACTCCCCCCCACACACAAAAAAAAGTAACTTGGAATTTATGCTTTATAACGTTTATTATATTGTTTAAATTTCAGATTCAAGAATCAGAATTCAAAAGCAGCCAGAATGAAAGATAATGATAATTATCTTTTACTTTACTTTTACTTAAATTAGATAAATGAAATTAACATATTTACAACAGCTTCTAAAAAATTCAGAAATTGTGCTTTATAACATTTATTATCTTGTTTAAATTTCAAATCAAGATATTCAAAGACTGGCAATATGAAAGATAAAGCCATTTTTACAAATGAGAGATGGAAATTTTAAAAAAAAGTATTTTCCTTCGGAAAAACAATTTTAATACAGTATCATTATATAAAAACAAATCATTAAATCAAAATTTTACACACAAATTTTTGGTTTTAAAATCACCCAAATACAAGTCACCCAACTTGGTGATGCATATCAGAATTACAAAGCAATGTACCACAAAAAAAAAAAAAAAAAAATTTAATTCAAACAGTAATCAGAATGGTTGCCATAGAGATTTGGAGACAAATCGGCCAAATTGATACTGTTATGAAAATTAGCAAATTTGTATAAAATTTTGGATATACAATTTTAAACTGGAGCCGCCATCATAAAAATTACCAAAAAATTCATAAAAGTCAACAGATATGCTATATGGCCCAAATAAGAAAATTATTTTAGATATTCTTTCAATGAAATATGACAAACGACATAGTAAAGCTTATTTAAACCAATATAGTTTTTTTAAAAAAAAACTTGACTTCCATATATACTACAAGTGTATGAGGTTCTAAACTCATTAACAATCAGTTTTACAATAAAATAATCTAACTACATCCTACTTGTGTGTAACAGACATTCCTTCAAATTAGAATTATTGCTATATATTAGTCTCCTTAATCTGAAGTGTAAACAATATAAAATGTATTACATACCAACAATCATAATTCGATTAAATTAATACCTTATAACAATTAGGACACATACCTTATGACAATTAGGACATTTATAAACCCCATTTTCACAGTGAACATGTACATGTTCTTTCAAAGCCACAATTTGATCAAATTCTGCCTTACAAATTGGGCATTCATAAAATTTTCTTTCTTCACTGTAAAAAAAATAAATAAATAAATAAAATAAAGACACTGAATTATAATGCAAAACTCTAGTTATGATTATAGAATATTTAATTTAAAAATTCTATAATTTTAAATAAAGTACTTGGTTAAAATTTTCAGAATTCATAATGTACCATATCTGTCACTTATCACACTTAAAATCACTTGCATTCCAAACCTACTTGAGTATTAAGCGCTGATTGTAACAAATGGTGATTTGAGCATTGCAAATAGGAACATCAGTTTTAAATTTTCAAAATAAATTAACAACTAACAATTAATTCATTAATTAATCCTGAAATACTAATTAAAAATTAATGCCAAAATTAAAATACAGGGCGTTTATAAAGTCCCGGACCCATTTTGATGTTTAATAACTCATAAAGTAATAAAGATAGATTAAAATTAATAACATAAATGGTTAGATAGACTCAAAAAGTTTCATGACCCTTGTCAATGAACTTCCAAGTGTGCTCCCTTCGTCGCACAGAGAATATCAAGTCGATATTCAATTTCACGCCAGGTACCGGTAAGCATGTCGACATCCACAGAGGTTATTACGGTTGTAATTCAGGCTTTTAGGTCATCAATATTCGACACTCTCCTCCTGTAAACCTTGTCCTTTACAAATCCCCAAAGAAAAAAGAACAGCGCATTATATCAGGTGATCTGGGTGGCCAAGGAACTAGACCTCCTCGCCCAATCCATCTTCCTGTAAAATGGCATTCAAAGAACTACAAACAATGGTACTCCAATGAGATGGTGCACCATCTTGTTGCAAAAAGACATGTGGCTAAAGTTCTTCTAGTTGTGAAAATATGAAGTTTTCCAACATGTCTAAGTATACGACTGATGAGACCGTCTTTTCTGTAAAAAAGAAAGGCCCAATGACTCGGTCGTCATTAGTCCACACCACACATTAACCTTTGGGGAATCCCTTTGTGCCTCACGGTATTCATGGGGGTTTTCAGATCCCCATATGCGCACATTATGGCGATTAACAATGCCAGAAAGATGCCAAAAACAAAAGAGAGAAAAATGCAATTAATAAGCAGACGATATTTAGAAAATTACAAATATTTAGACTGGAAAATGAAATTATCTGAAACTAACCACACGCGCAGACAATATTTACAAAAGTAAAGATATTCAAACCTGAAAAGGAAAATATATAAGTTATTCCAGAAATAAATGCAATAAGTTTGTTTATATCTTCATTATTTTATGAGTTATTAAACATCAAAATGGGTCCGAGACTTTTATAAACACCCTGTATTTTTGCATTTTTTAAATTCACTTTTTAATTTTTTATAAAAATATTTTTATAATTATGCACTTGATAAAGTTTTCTCTCAACAAACAACTATTCTATATGCGTTTGTTTTATATTGTTCAGCAATAGTTTTCAACTGCATTCTCAATTTCATAACACTACTGATAGTTTTTCTGATCAGCACCTTTCAGTTTAAGAATTTTTCTCAGAATCTGCATTGCTTTTCAACTTACTGATGGCATGTCATCACTTTTCCTCCATAATTTGCACTTTCAGGATAAGAAGATGCATAGGTAGTTGTGGTACTATTTTTAAGCTTGAGAAGTTTTAATTTCGAGCAGCGATTGCACAAAAGATTTTGCACAGCAGTTACAGCAAGGAAAGCGTGATGTAAAACATGGTGCAATACGAAGCCTTCAAGAAGGGTTTCATGGAATTGAATTTAAAAATTTAAAGCACTGTTCCAATAATGTTTAATTTGGTAATACATTTTTCTTCATATTTTGATATATATATATACACATAATAACAAACAAAAGGAAAGGACTATTAATGAATATACACACACACATACATACTCTGAAAAGATTTTTCTACTGCAGTATTCTTCCAATATGAAAATTACAGCTACATATATATGTAAGAAAAATAAAGAATACGTAAAACGTTAAACCAGTGGCGTAAATTTCCCTTCTCAATCCTAAAAATAGTAACCTCTCTCTCCACTGCTAGATTAATCTCTGTCATATGACTCTTATATAATTCTGGTGATGTAAATGGAACTAAAACTAAGCCAATAGTAATTTTACAGTAATATTAACTATCCAATCAAAATGCATTGAAAACCAAAACTAAATCAGTCTGAATTAAGATTTCAGCCTGAACATAAGGCATTTGCTTTCTACGCTTTGGCCTAGCTGGACTGCAGTCTGTCTGTTCCTCCTTCCTTACTGCAAAATTATCTGGAATGTAAGCTTTTTGGAATAGGCACAAATAATGTGCCAACTTGTTTAAGGCGCAACATGTTTGCTGAAATAAATTTGAATTTTAAATATAACTCGACTGCCAAATTTCTTACTCATAGTGAATCGGCGTTTCAGCATTCAACGACATCAAAATTCTGGCTGTTCATTGCAAAATATGATGGCTCCTTAAAGGATAATTGCCGACCTCAAAATTAATTATTCTAGATTTTATACTCTCCCCCTAAGTTTATCCTTTCTCCCAAATTTGAGATCATTACAAATTACATGCCATTGCTTAAAAAAGGTAACTAAAAGTAAAATTAACTAATCACGGCTTAGATTCACAGATGCACCTAAGCAGTATAAATTCTGCTTCGTGAGGAACTACGTTAATTTTTTCCTGACTTCTGCCATGCAAACATCTCCACGCTGCGCATGCTTTCCTGCTTATGTCATACTTTTAAAATCAGTCTTGTGCAGCGGTTCTCAACCTTTTGACTAACGTGTACCATCTAAACAAAAATTAAAAACTTTTAGTACCATCACTACTCTTGTACAAAGATAGTAACCTCTCCACTGCTAGATTAATTTACTAGTGCTAGAGAAAAACTCAATCAGGATGTTGGGGTTTTAATTTTTGAATTTAATAGTTAAAAATACTTTGAATCTTTGTGTACCACATCTTTTTCTCTTGTGTACCATCAGTGGTACGCATACCACCAGTTAAGAACTCCTGGTCTAGTGGGAAACAGTGGGATCAAGAAAACCAGACAAGTCCACAAACCTGGCAGTGGACCATGAAATCTTACATCAGCACATGATGACACTTCAATTGCATGATAGTAATAGATCATGCATAATACTGAAGCACTGTTACAGGTTACCATTGTCAGTTTTAACAGTTCACCAGCATCTGCTCCTCCATGCATGGCATGCTTACATTCCTTTGGACAGTACTGCCCAGGACAGGACTGCCTAGAGCAGAACCATCTATGAAAATAGCAGCAATCAGCAGACTCAGCAACACAACGGCAGACATGCCAGCTGGCATCAAACATCTTTTCCAAAGAATCCTGCTTTACTTTGGAGTATAGCGATTGTTAAGTATATTACTGGAGGAATTAAAACAACAAGAATTGGCATAATATTTGTAAATTTCAGGACTAGTTTCAAAGGTTTGAATATAGAACCTTCTTCTTCAGCTCCAGAAATGCAGATGATGAAAGAGAAACTACTGTTCAGGTGATAAGAATGGCAGGAAGTAAGTCAAGCTATTGGGTGTCATATATTGCTGAAAAATAAAAACGCTGAAATAATTTCCTTAAAAGCTGTGGACTGGGTTATTTTAAATATGTGTTAGGCATTATAGAAATGAATGGCATCTGTGAGACTGCATTATCCAGCATCATATTGAATGCACATATCCTTCATTCAATCCATTTCTGCAGGGTATTTCAGCATCAGAATGCCTGTCCACATGTTGATAGGCTGTTCTAAGACTTCTCAGTATGTCAGATACTACTACATTCTTGAATGGTCCATTCAGACATATTTGAGATTTTAAAATTTTATTCAACTCTAATGTAATAATAATTAACTTCTTTAATAGAGTTGCAATTTTAAGGAAGAAGAACAGAAAGCTTAATAAAGTCATAAAAATAGATTGCTCATTTGGAAATTAACTATAAGAAAAATTATCAGTTCTAAGAAGTTTTATCTACTCAACCACTGAAATATATATATATATATATAATAGGAAGAAACATTGTAGCGAGTTTGCTAAAAAGTTACCAGGAGCTAAAAAGTTTTCCAACATTGATTTTAAACAGTTTTCTTTCACGTGTAAGCAGTTTTCTTCTTTTCTCCATGTTAATAATTTTTCCAAATAATTCTTTCAAAATTTTCTTCTATGTTAATATTTTAGTAATACTGCGTTAAAATATTTCGTGAAGCTACAGCTCCTGGTAAACTTTTTAGCAAGACTCACTGCAATGTTTCTACCTACTACTATTGTTTCATATTTTTGCAGCATTTTGTGCAAAAATTTTTAAGACCAAATAGGTCTTACATATCATTACTTATTAGCTTTTCAATTTCTATTTCGATTATATATATATATATATATATGAATGATATATAAATAAGACATGTTTTTAAATTGTAGCTGTACATATCATGCTAAGGAGAAAAAAAAATAAAATAGTGAGTTCATTTTATAAATTAAATCTCAAATTCACTATGACATTACTGAAATATTAATGAGCATCATACATCGACTTTAAGAACTGCTCCTTCCTTTCCTTCAGATTATGCAGTTACCATGTAGGTTGTATCCCTTTTCGATACTGAATAATTACTATATTTAGGCTACATAAATAAATAAAGCACTCAGCAAAAATATCTGTTGAAAAAAAGCTTTCATGAAATATTCATGATATGCTTTCTGCATATTCATACATATGCAGAAAGATCTTAAACTTCACAATAAAATTATGCTTTTATAATGTTGCCTGCTGGCCCTCTGCAGAGAAGGCTAATTTTGGAATTTTAACTTCTGGCTTCAAAGCTAAATCTTCTTCTACGTCTTGGTAAGCAATTACATGCATTTTAAACTTTCGATTAAAATATGCATTAGCCCTTTGTACTAAATTCAGAAATTTGCGTTCTGTTTATTATAATATACTTGAAATAAAGAACTGACTGTAATGTCTATGACTGCCTTTTTATTAATAAAATCATCAACTGAAAAGACTTGCGCATTTTTCTATCATGTCACAGCTTTCATTTTATATATTTGTACATGTGTATAATAAATTAAATGAACAAGCAATATTCTTTAAGATTTTAGATAGCAATAAAATATTACATAGATATAATACTAATACAAACCTATGAACTTTTATATGACAAGCTAAAGCAGAATTATTCAAAAACCGCTTGAAACAAGTGTCACACTGCAACGGTTTTGATTCTTCACTTCCATGAACAAGATAATGCCTAATTAAACGCTCATCTGAAGCAAAGGATTTATAACATAAGTTGCATTTAAAAGGTTTCATAGGATTGATGATGCCTCTATAGCAACGCTGCTTGCCAATCTTGCCATGCACACTCGCATGTTCAATTAAATCTCTTCTGCTTGAGAATTCCTATTTTTTTTTTAAAAAAGGGAATCCATTAGAAAAAATATAAAAATCAAATTACAAATATTTAATAGTCTGATTAAGTAACATATTACACTTAAAAATAATATGAGAAGCATTAAAAATTAATAACTAAGTAATCTGATACTCAGTAATAATATACTGATATACTAAAGTAATCTGATATACATAAACAATTCATATACACTGGAGTGTCACTGAATTAGGGATAGCAAATCAATAATGAGCTGGCCTTCCTCTGGCCTTGATAATGGCTGCTACACAACGAGACACAGATTAAATATGTTGGCAGAAATATATGCTGCCACAAGAAAACAACCCAGACTATGATTGACCTATCATGGCCTTGCATAGTTCAATCCTGGCATACAAAATCCATCGCTTCATGAGCTTCATGATCCAGGCTCCCGTTGGTATCACTACATGGTACTCGTTTCCAGTTCTCTAGAGTCCATTCTCTATGTTCTCATGCCCAGGCAAGATATGCAGCTCGATAGCAAGCAATGAGCAATGGTACTCTTGTGGGTCTGCAGCTTTTGAAGCCCATATGGTAAAGCGAGTGTTGCACAATCCATTTACTGAGTGTATGACTGGTGCCCTGATTCAGATGAATAGTAATTTGAGCTAATGTTTAGCTTCACTGGCTATCTACAATACAACATTCATTCAAGTCTAAATGTCCTTTGCAATTTGCCTGCTTGCTAGTTTTCTCCCACCACCAACATCCATGTATTCGTAGTACACTCTTGACACTGTCAAACTTAAAATCCTAACATTTTGACGATTTCGGAAACTGAATAGCCCATGCATCGAGTGCCTACTATCTGCCCATGATTGAAGGCGAATAAATCAGAAGTTTTACCTATACTAGCAATTGAAACAACTGATTAACAACAACCATACTACTAGCTACAAATGAAGTTATCACAACAACCTCACATAATGATAAATGTCGTGCAACACAACAAAATTTGCAAAGCCTAATTCTATCCCTAATTCAGTGGCACTTCAGTGTATGGTCTCAACAGCCCATAACACTTTTTTCCTCCTTCCTTAAATTCTAAAAAATTTTTGCTTTGACTAATTCTTTTCTTTCAAACCTTGTCATTAAACCTCTGGTTTCAAGCTGCTTATTCAAATTATAGTCCATATCATCTTTATCATAGATTTTTAAATTAATAAAATAATTTAGAGCTACAAAAAATAATCTAGAACTGCTCGATATAAAAAAAATCATGCATATACTTAATACCAATATATATATATTATATATATATATATATATAACAAAACAAATCTTTTGGAAAAAAAAAAAAAAAAAAAAAAAAAAAAAAAAAACAAATGTGCCAAGTCATTTTCGTGCATTAAGCTGTAGAAAAAATTATATATATATATATATATATAGTAAATCAAAATTAACCACATAATTCTCTTTTATTCTAAAATTCATATCTTTTCTGGACTGCGTCCTTTCTAGATCAGTCCATCTTGCAAGGCTTGCGTAATGCTGATGATGCAGCTAACTTGGAATATGAACTCAAAACTTTTTTGAGAACTGAAACTTTTCTAAAAACCTTCTCTTGGTGAGCCTCCATAATAATTGCACACTTTTAACTTCAGCTCTCCTGCAGTCAAGATGCTACTTCGCTTCATTTGCTTCGTCATGCCGGTAACTATACTATTATCTAAAATGTGATACTCCGTATAAAATTGTGGGGTGCGTATTGCGACCATGATCATGTGTGATGAAAGATATGCTTTTGATAATTAGTTTGTATTCACCAACAGAAGTTATATTCAATTTGGCTACATCTGTCTACAAGTCTTTTCTTCCAATGTCATCTTTCTAACTATGCTGTAAAGTCTCCCCAGGCTATAATGCAGAGAACCATCGCCAATCTGTTGCAACTTACTCTAAGTCATCTTATTACATATATACTGATTACAGAAATACTTATTTCTAATAACTGGAGTGCATATATTTCATATCATGCAGTATCAATAGAAAATATATAAAAAAATATTATGAATTTAACATGATGCTATCACATACTTCAATTTTAACACTATGAATTTTTTACTAACATAACAATCATCAATTTACCAAAAACGATCCTGGCAGCAAAACAAATAAGCTGTAGAAATATTTATTGATGATCCTTTCAAAAAATTATTACTGATGCTGACAACTACTGCAATCAATGGCAAAACCTTTTGCCAGATAATAAATAACATGAAAATTACAAACTAGAACAATTAAAACCGTGCAATAAAAAAGTCATTAATACTACAGATCATCAGACTTTACCGTAATAACCAATATAATTTTAACATATGGTAGCATGTTTCCCCTAGCATTTAAGGAAGTGGAAAATGATATGAATATTTAAAATAACCGACTGTTTTCATTTTACTAACAAACACTCCTGCAAAGGCCACGTCAAACCTTTCCCTTCTATGTTTATGCCATCTTAATACAAGACTGACTGATCACAGATAAGCAAACATGAACTGATATTCAGTCCATAATTTGAGTCAGCTGCACATTCACCTTCTCTATTTATTTATGAATGATATGAACCCTAAGAAGCAGTGGAAACAAGCAATACAAATGAGCAAAATTCAAGTTACAGGAAAACAGAAATGAAGATATATTATTAGATATTGTTAAATTATACGAATGAATGTTAATATTACTATGTAATCTTATTAAAATGTAGGATTTTTTTCTTTAATGATTTAAATTTTAATAGTGACATATAGTATATCAATGTCTACTTTCCCTTTGTTACATTCTTACTATAATCACATACTTCATAAATTATTCACATAATTTTATGTTTTTGATTTTCAGACGATAAAATTAAAAAAAAAAAAAAAAAAAGGAGGAATGTCAGATAACCCAGTAAATAACCAATACTATGAGAAAGCAAATATTTAAATATATAAAGCACTTCTCTTTTGGAGACCATCATAATTATGAGTGATCCTCTCCCCCCCCAAAAAAAAAACAAATCCTATATGAATAGAGCATGATTTTATATGAAACCTATATTTCAATCATTCGATGTAAGAAATTTCTGCAAAACGAAATGCACCTCAGTCTATATAAGAGTAAAGCTATCAGTTATAATGATGCAAAGACATCATGGAAACATCAAACATATCAAATGAGTAGGTATGTTCAAGATATTAAATGAGGGGAAAGTGTAAATCATCTAAAGGCTTATTTTTAGGCATGCTGTCAAATAAAACTGATACAAATGATATAGCTGAACTCAAAATATAGGCATGAACAAAATTACCCACCATAACCTGAGGCTCTTCCACTACAGGCCAACCTCTCTAGGACTTAACCACTATACTGGAGCAGATGTTTAATAAACACTATTTCTGAGAGGATTACAAGAAGCACGTTTAAATATGGGAGCAACATCATAATGTTATAGGACTCCCTCCTATCTATTTTGACTTCAATTCTTTAGTTTTATTCTCTGTAACTCTGAAACCTGTAATATTTCATTATATTTTAGATAATAAAATTCTTCCTTGCATTGTGGCAAAAGCATGAAGTAGGCCTTTTTCTTATTTTATCTCAATAATGCACTGTTACAAAAGCAAGGTTTTGATGAACAGAAAAGAATGGGGGCAAAAGGCATAAAAAACTAAATCATATGAAAGATATTTCACTAGTACACTGAAATTAGAAAATGTGTGAAAAAAAATTAAGAAAGATATTGCAATTTTTTTAAGCCTTACTCTTAACAAAGAATAAAATGTACTTTAAAAACACATTGTGATGGTTTTCCAACCTCCCCCCCCCAAAAAAAAACCTAACAATTGTACAGATTATGAGTAAAATAAATGAATTTCAGGTTAATATGGAGATTTCAGAGATCCTACACAGTAGACTGATGATAATTCATGAAAGGACTTAATTCAAATAATACATAGAGTTTTCAGCATTATAGATTTTAAATTTAAAAGCTTACAACATGTTTAGGGAAAGCTGCAGCATTTCAGAATTGGAACAAAAATTTGGTATAAAGAATACTGGCACAAACAATGTAAACTGCACAAAAAGAACGGGGGCAGTTCTATATCTTCCGTTCTACTGTGCCAGTTGAAAAATTCAACTTGTGTTTTTCATGTCTCAAAAGCATGATTTAGGCTATGTATTAGATTTATATATAGCACAGCTCTAATATAGGTGTTTTGACAGAAAATCAGACTTTTTCTGAAATGACATACCAATTTTTTTCCCTATTTCGATTCTACAACTCAAATTATGACTAAATATTAAATTTTTGTAAAATTTAATAATTTATTTCTAAAATAAATCTACTTTATGATGATGGTAAAATATTATAGGTTATAATTTAAAAAAATTATTTAGAAATACAAATTTTAAAAATAAATCATAAAAAATGGGCAAATTTTATTTGGAATGAACCTAAATTTCAAATTCTGTAAGAAGGGATCAAGTAACTTCAAGTAAGTAATAAAAAAGAGATATTAGTAAATATATATCAAATTCAATTAACATCGAGGAGCTAAAATTTTGAGAGCCGATTGTTTAAAAACTACTTGAGCAATTTTTACAAAACTGATAGTTTGGCATAATATGAAACGTAAAATCGAAATATAGGGGGGAAAATGGCATGTCATTTCAGAAAAAGTCCGATTTTTTGTCGAAATACCTATATTGGAACAAAGCTATATATAAATCTAATATATATCATAAGGCGTGATTTCGAGACGTGAAAAACGCATGTTGAATGTCGTCAATCGGCTCAGTAGAACAGGAAATATAGAACTGTCTTTCTTTTTTTTTTTTTTTTTTCTCACACTGTACAATAATACACAATAAAAGTTTTCAACCAGCACTGATGAAATATACACTTTGCTATTTTTATATGTCAAACATGAATATACATTTTAATTTTTCATTCAAACTTTTTTATTACAAAAGTAAATTAGTTAAAATTTAATGACAATTTAGAAGATTGTTTCATAAATTATTATTTAGAAAATTATTGCATTTTAATGGCATCCAAATCAGCTTACCTGTGTGCATTCGGGACATTTGTGCAACTCATCACTACCTAGTTTGCTTTCATCACTTCCTTCAAATCCATCCTCAGTACCAAGATTACCTTCTAAGAATGCATGTTCCTCATTGAAAGCCACATTTTCAGCAGCATGAGTCAAGGTATGAAGATTAAGAACACTAGAATTATCAAATGTGAGACCACAGTGAGTACAAACCCACTCAGCCCCTTGTTTTTTTTTAAATAAGGATTTCACCGGCTTTACTGCCTGCAAGTCATCATCTCGTTTATGACGACGCACATGCCTGAAAACCATTAATATTTCATTTAAACGTACAAATATATACACAAAAAGAAATGAAATATTAACAACACACTAATTCCAAAATATATTCATGCCCGAAATTATCCCTACATGCACGAAATCGTGGATTTTTCAGAAACTGTGACCTATATAAATTTATGTGGAATGATACTCAGCATCATAACACATAAACATAAAGGACAAATATTAAGAAATTGGGTATTATATAAAACTGTTGCATGAATCAATAAAAATGATGTTAACATGTTATAAGGAGGGTTCAGTGGGGTAAAAAAGAATAGCTCAGGAAAAAATTAAGGTTCGTGATTTTAATACGAAATGTGATCTCTCTTGATTCGCACACACATTTCACAATGGCTTTTCCTGCCAACAAAAACTTTGTTAACTGCAGTTCGAGGAATTAAATTTCATTCATTCAGAAATTCAGTCTTTGGGGTATTTTACCTCTGTAGGAGATGGATGCCTTCATGCACCTGCTTTTCTAAGGTACTCCTATAAGTTCTTTATTGGGTTAAGATCATGAGATTTTGCTCAATGTCTTCATCATTATGTCTTCCATACACATTCGCATTACCAAAACTGTCATGTTCCATAATGTTTGAAGAAAGATTTTGCATTCTTGACTCCCTCGAGATGTAAACATGTTTAAAATCAGATGTTAAACTAAGCTTCAACTTATCATCAAAGAGAACACATGACCATCAGTACTGACTGGAGTTCTAATATTCTTTGCACCAATTAAAACGATCCCCATTTTGTTCTGAAAACAGTAAAATGCATACATTTGGTTTTCTGGCAAAAAAGACTTTTTCATAAAGCCTTCTGTATTCAGTTTGGCACGATACAACAGTTCCAATCACTATTGCAAGCTCTAAACTTAACTTCTAAGAAATAGATTTCTAGTTATGATAGGCAATTATTGCCAGATATCAACTTGAGAAACAGTTATTATTCATTTATGATCTAGTTCAGGCCTCTTTACAACAATTACAGAGTTCTAAAATTGTTTCCATAGTGTAGACAATCATCTTGAAATATTCACACATGGTTATATGAGTGAAACCACTTGAAAATTCTTAAAATATTTAGACATCTCATGACTGTCTCCTTACTTCTAAATGGTCATGTTTGCCACTTCAAAGTCATGCCAAATGATACTTCAGAGCCATAACAAAACATTTTGACAAGCAATGAAATCCAAAGCTAGCTGTATTGCAAAAAGTCGCTCAGATATTCAGTTTGCACAAATGCTTGATTCACGGGCAGATGATGTAATTCTTTAATTTGCATATGAGAAACCATCTGACCACTTTTAATTGGATAATGCTAATCTGATCTGTGATCTGTGTGTAATGATGATCTGTGCAACTGGTAGGTTATTTAAGAGGAGAAATTACGATTCCAGGTCATAACCTCTTCACGAATTTCATTCCGTAGACAGTAAATACGCCTCGCATACAGGTGGTGTGCGAACGATATGCACAGATGTCAGAATTTGAGAGAGGTTGTGTAGTTGGGCTCAAAGAAGCCAGTTGGTCTTATAGGCGAATAGCTCGACATTTGAGCGATGCCACTATTAGACGATGTTGGCAGGAATGGGTGAACCATGGCTGCACACAGCATCAAGAACGAGGCGGTAGACCTAAAGAAATGACAGAACGTGAAGACTGAGCAATCGTCAGAGTGGCATTCACAGCCCAGATGCATCATTATCATCGACTGTACATGCAACTAGTGCTTCAGTGACCGCAAGAACCATTCATAGACGGCTCACAGAAAAAAGACTGAGGTCACGGCGCCAATTGCGCCGACTACCATTGACCTCTGTACAACATCAAGCCCGTTTGCAGTGGTGTCGGGATCATTCACACTGGAATGTCACTGACTGGAGCAGAACAGTCTTCAATGATGAGTCCCGCTTTGAACTGAGCCCTGATGACCAGTGAAGGCGAGTCTGGAGACGCCCCGCATAGCGGCGTGATACCAACCTGACTGTCTTCTGGCAGACAGGCCGACAACCAGGAGGGATGGTCTGGGGTGCCATTTCATTTCATAGTAGAACCCCTTTGGCTGTCATCCATCGCAACCTTATAGCACAGCAGTATGTCGTTGAAGTTCTAAGGCCCGTTGTGTTTCAGCAAGATAATGCCCGTCCCCGCACTGCACATGTTTCTACTGCTTGCCGAACATTACCTTGGCCAGCAAGATCGCCGGATCTCTCTCTTATTGAGCAAGTTTGGAGCATTATAAGCAAGCCCTCCAACCAGCTCGGAATGTTCACAATCTAACATGCCAGTTGGACAGAATTTGGCACGATATTCCTCAGGAGGACATCCGCAGCCTCTATCAATCGATTCCAAGCCAAATAACTGCTTGCATAAGGGGCAGAGGTGGACAAACGTGTTACTGACTTTTTCACTTTGTGAAGCTCTATCACCTCAATAAATCATCCAATTTTTCTCAAACTGTAATCATTTGTTTTTCGATACATGTACATCACTTCTACCGATTTTCGTCCCATTCGGATAGCTCTTTCTTAGTGTGTCATTGTTTTTGTCTAAGAATGTATTTCTCATTCAATTAATTCACTTCACAACAAAGCAAAATTACATAAAACCTTAAAATATTCTTTTTAAAAATTGAAAAGTATAAAAAGAAAAAACCTGAAAGTTTTCAGATTTCATATTATGCCCAAAGGGGCTTTATTTTAATGTTTTGTGTCTTATCTTTATTTATTAAATATCCCGTTCTTCACACTTAAACCATAAAATTCGATTCAACAGCAGTATCACAAAAATAATAATATTATTATATCACCCTAAAGAATAAATGCGAGTCTCGCATGAAGACCATGTCGTCCAAGTTTTTCTTATTTTTACTCACAACACATCTCATACATAAACATATTAGACTGAAATATAATCCAAGTATAATTAATCAAGTAATTCGAGAAAAAGAATAAACTAACCCAGTTAGCAAAAAATATCTATCACCTTCCGAGTTCTAAATATTTATTTACATAAACATTTCTAACAAGCCCTGCCAGGAAAATGAAACCAGGGGACTACACACGCGTGATCGGCAGAGATCACATGACTATTTTATTTTCAACAATTTCAGCAGTGAATTGACGCATAATGCCAAAATATAGGCCTTCTGGGCAATTTGCCTGTTTGGGTTAAAGCAAAAACAAGAAATTCGTTCAGTGAGGAAGAAAGCAAAAACGTTTTGGAGCAAAAAAGTTTACTTTTTGGAGCATTATTATTTTTGGTCCCACTCGGCAAAAGACACTGAAGGTGTTTCACTATTCTGCTAAGTTTCAAATGTAAGCAAATATGGCTGGTATGGTAAAAAAAAAAAAATATATATATATATATATATATATTAGGCTTAGACGCACTTAAACAACTTTTAAATTGTGGATAATTCAAGAACTATTGCATGCAGATTAACTAAAGCCATAAAAACCTTAACCAGAAGATAAAAACAACATAATTCAACCATTTTTGAAGCAAAAAATACAAAACTTACCAACATATAAGAATAAAAAAAATTGAACTTATGAAGCCGAGAGTGGGTGGTCTGACTGATTGCAACAAAAAATGGAGGTGCACAACTTCATGTTATAGCAACTCTATATACAAAATTTCAAGGCTTTGAGGCTACTCAATTTTGAGTCATGCGAGATACGTACAGACGTCATAAAAAAAATCTCTTCTAAATCCATTTTAAATTCTTTTTGCAACCTATTTTTGGGAAAAGAGCATTTTATTCTGTCCTTACGTACAGATGTCATGCAAAAAGATCATTCAACAGCATGTGATAGCGGTCAAAATAGACATTTTCATTGAAATATGACACCTGAAAATTTTCACAATTACATTACTTCCTTTACTTTATACAAGGAAGTAAAAATATACAAGCAAATACAGTAATCAATCAGAAAAGATGTAAAAATTTACAAGTGCTCTATTTTCAACCATAATATTTAAAACAATCGTGAACATGCAGTTTTTGAAGTTTGTTTAAACTTAAAAAACTTAATTTTCTCTTACATTATATTCCTAAACTACTTACCTATTCCGATTATACACATGACTAAATTTAATGTCACAGATAGGACATTTATATTTTTTCTCTCCCGTATGCATAATTAAATGCCTTTGCAAGCTATAGTTACGAGGAAAGCTTTTGTGGCAAATATCACATTTATACTCTTCTTGCTTAGAAGGTATCTGAAAGTAAAAGAGCACCTATATTAAATATATGTACTATAATTACACAACAAGCACACAACACATATTTTTAAAAAATTTAAAAGATTGAAATGAAACTTATTATTAGTATCATAATTTTTCCTCAAACTAAAATGTCCATTCAAGGATAACTCTTGGTAAGAAAAATTCCCCCACCTGACTATTTGCACTTTTTCAAATACGTAACATACTAAGAAAAACTGATGCAAACATTTTACTTTCTCATCAAACAATATGTAACTGTACTTAAACATACAAGATCCCCACAATGAGCTATTTATATATATTCACATGATGTTTGAGATTTTTATCACATTCAGAATAATATATTTCATTCTTAGAGATTGGAAGCCGCAAATTCAAATTTAAGCAAAGCAATAAATTTGAATTTAAAATAAAATTTTAAGACTATTAAAAAACATGGTAACTAAATATCAGTTTCATATAAAAATGCATAGAATAAGAGATTTGTACTATTAGAACTTACTCACAATTAGAACTATTAGTGAAAGATAATAATATGATTTTTCACAAAACCAAACATACCTCAAATGCTTTAACATTTTTCTCAAAAAAGTAGTTCTGAAGATTTGTTCAGCCAATGAAAAAATCTTAACATCAACTAACATCATGGACACTGTTTAATCTAAAAGAGCATATATTTATGCATTTTTATCTAAGATGATAGACTGTGTATTTTCTGTCTATCAAATGCTGCTTGTTATAAATATGCTGAAGCACTGCTCTTCAGTACTAAGCTTTGAAAAAAAATATTTTTGCATTGTATCAAGGCATTTAAAGTTCATTATTTTCACCTTAATTATTCAAAATAAATTCAAAACTATTCAAATTTATAATACTAGAAGATGTCAACAACATAAAATGGACATAATAGGAGTTATAACCCGTTAATTAAAGGGGCACAGATTTTTTTTTTTTTTTTTTTTGTTGTTTGTTTTTCAATTTATTTTGAAACTTAACATAAGCTTTCTTGGTTAATTAAAAAGTAACATTACGACATTATTACAGAAAGGGAAAGGCTATCAGCTTTCTCGACACGTAATGCGTTTTACTCGCTCGCATTTCTCAGGAAAGAGCCAGCATTTTTGTTTTTCTTACTTGATTTAATAGGTCATTATATATAATGCCTTGAATGGTCATTATACATAATGACACAGGCATTATATTTTGGTATATAATGTATTTACTTTACATATAATGCATATATTGATGTGAACAGCAATGGATATCTCGCCAGTGGGGGTCTTTTCTTGGTCACTTTTCCAGTCATCATAGACACTGTTTTCAATTTTGAAAAACAAGAAGTTTTCTAATATAAACCTAATGTCACACAGGGTTTGAGGATGAAATATTTCTAAGTGTCTTTTGAAGAAGTTTTGAGACATGTATTGGAGTTATATTCAGTTTCATTCCGTTTGCCATGGCTAAAAGACTTCCTTAAAAACTTAAAAATTTGCTCAAAATCACTGGACATTCCACCTTTTCTTCTAACTGGAAGACAATTTCCAAAAATTTACATTGATGGAAAAGGTAATAAAAGTAGGTGAAGATGCCTTGTGTGCGCTAAAACTAAAGAAAAGCGAAAGCAAACACCGTATTTTGAGTGCAAGATATGCAATGTAGGACTACGTGTCGATCCTCGTTTTGAATTATTTCACACACAGCAGAATTTTTAAATGGAATTTAGTTACCTACAGGCAATTCTTTAGTTTTTTTTAATTATTATTATTATTATTATTATTAAATTTCGTATTTGTACTTGCTGTTTATAATATTTTTCATGTTTATAATATTTATTTATGTGTGTATAGTTATGATTTTAGTATTTTGCCAGTTTATTCCTATTAATGTGATATTTTTATATTAATACACATTAAAAACATGTACATTAAATACACAACTTAAAAAATTTAAGTCATAATATCAAAATGCTAATTTCATACTTTTTTTTGTAAAATTAGGCTTAACTACTGAAAATGTGTGGGCCAGTGCCGACGATCCGTTTCAGCGGGTCCGCTCCTGTGACTGCGCTTAGTTTGGGAGAAAGCTGGTCCTGCCGCTGGTCCTTAAGGGGTTAATGAAAAGGAATGCCCCCTCCCCATTCACAAAAATAATGGTCAAATTAAAGGCAGAACTGCCACAGAACAATTAAGGCAAGTGAAGCAGCCTTCCCTTTTTTTTTATTTAATGTTAAAAGACAAACACTTTCAAATATTAATGAAATCCTATACCTAGACTATATGGCACAAATGTTTCATTCACAAGTCTCATATTAAAACATAAGAAAAAGCTATTCAAAACCGCATTTTTGAATGGTATGTATACATCATTTTCATCTTATTCTTTTTCCTAGCAATACTAAATAATAAAAAGTAAAATACGCTGCATTATAAGGTATTTATCTCACGTTCCTAGCGTGCCTTCGTGGTATAACGGTAGCACGCTGGGCCTGTATTCCAGAGGTCCGTGGTTCAATTCCCGGCGAAGGCGGATGCATATTTTTCATCTTTTCTGCTTCCAATTAACCTAATGACTCTACAGTATTATATACATAACAACAAAAGATCTATTCATTACTAAGTTAGCCTCTGTTTATATATATATAGACTGAATATAACATGTATTTAAAATATATAACAATACACAGCAAGAATAGATACCCTTTCCCGACAAAGAAAACACAAATTATAACTTTAATTCACTGTCAAATTAAATTTATCTCTAAAAATAAAATCTTCTCTAAAACTGGCAAAATATATTTTTTGTTAGAACTTATTTCAAGCCTGTCAAAACACATTAAAACTACTTGATTGTTATCCTATTTAATAAAAATGTATACAAATAACATAGCGAAACAGTAAAAAAAATAACACACTGCATGGAAAGCCAATGTTGAACACCTCTTGTGAGATTTTTTAAACCAAAAATGCAAACATTTCTTTTATTTAAAGTTTTCCAAACAGTAAAATATAATATTACAGTAATTCGAATATCTGAAATTTTTAAATCATAATTAAGGAAAGAACTTATTATTTTTTAATTTTTCAAGCTAATTTATTAATGTTAAAGCCTCTGATTCAGAATTTGCTGTATGTACAAAGATTTCAGGTTATGAATTTGTAAATTATTCCGTATTTGCTTCAAATTTTATGAAAAAAATTCCCTCTTCAAAATTAAATAAATTCATCTAGAAATGTAGAAAGATAATGATCGTTGCAATATGATCCATGATGAACTACAACTCATCACAATCACTCCATCTCTTTCTTTCCACCCCATTTTTAATTTCTTCCCTTCTCTTTTTTAGCCTTTCTCAAGGAGTAGATTTTAAAATTTTTACAGTTTCTGCTCACTTACATTTTTTGTAGCAGTAATTGGTGCATAATTAATAAAATAATCTTTTCTCTATATAATATACCATATATATATATATCAAAATTTGAAATAAATATGTTAATAAATATACTTGTGAGATAGCTGCAAATTAATAAAATAATAATATCCTCAATAATCCATTAGTAAATAAATTATCTACTGAGACACGGTTAGCAGAACTGTAGTAGAATGAAGTAACTTGAAGCATTAAAAATTGAATTTAGACCCCCTGAAAAGTCAACCAATTTCCAATCATTGACAATAATTACTTGATTTATTGATTAATTTTTCATTATTAAAAGTTTCCATTTCAACGTTTTCATTTTCAATAGTTCCCATTCAATCTTTCATTATGCACATTGAAGTTCCCTTAAAAAAATTTTCTAAATTCAATTTTCAATGCTTCAAGTTACTTCATTCTATTACAATTCTACTAACCTTATGTCGGGAGATAATATACTCAATAATCCATTACTAAATATAAAATATGTGTTGTGCATGTGTAGGTGAGTAATACTAAATATTTTTAGTGGTGAATGAAGTACATGCATGATGACAGAGCTGCAGTGCATAAAGATGTAAGCTACCTTTGTGGCTGATTAAACTTTTTTCCAATGTCAACAAGCACATGAACATAAAATATACAGCTCAAAATGCATATTCTTGACTATATTTATGCCTACATAACAATTAATTTTTGTGGAAGAAATGTAAAAGGCAGAACATCAAATGAGATAAGAATGTGCAGATTCCAATTAGAAGATTAGGTTAAGACTGATTCAATTTTAGTTTGATATAATTTTGACAGCTGCTAAAGATTTTCATTAATTTTAATAGTTAAATACTACCTGCATCATTAGCATTACACAAGCATCATGTGGCATGGATTAACTTATTATACAGTCCAGAATGATTTATTACAAACATGCTACTATTTTTAGGAACGGAGAATAATCAGTACTCTTCTGTTATCGGAATTGGATTCAGAAATGCACGTGTGTATGTATGTATGTGCGTATCTGTGTATACACATACATACATGCATACACAAGCATATATATCCATAAATAGATTTCTGAATCCAGTCCCGATAACAGAAGTGTATTGAATAATCATATTCAATAGGAAACTTAAAATTAGAAATTTCATCTTGCATGTTCTTTAATTAGCTTGAATGTGTGTGCATATATATATATATATAAAATGAAAAAATGTAAGATGGCTTTTCAAAACGGGAAAAATGTTAAGAGAGACTTCAAACTTTTCACTTTATTTAATGATTAAAATTTCCTTTTTTTCTTAGTTTTAAATTCAGACAACTGCCTGTACGACTACAATTTAACTTAATTAATTATTACATACATATCTAAGTGTGTATATAGTGATATTTTTGATGAAGTTAAACATACTATCAATTAAGGTTTTTACATCAATCAAAAAGGTAGATTTAATAAAATACATTAAGCGCATTTTTAAGATTAATCACTCAAAATTTATTATAATTATTAACAATTATTTTTTTTTAGATCAAATGAGATAATTTTACAAAATTACTGCAGCATTTTCTGATAGTTATGTACTTTGCAACCATGAAACATACCAAAACATTTTATCATAAAATGTAAACTTTTTTAAAGATAATCGCAGTAAAATCGGAAAAAAATCATAAACAATGCCCCACTGGTGAGACATGAATAGATTAGATACGTTAATTGTACCTTAATCTTTTTTGGTGGTCGACCTCTGGGTCGTTTAGAGGTGGGCAGAGTAGTTGCCTCCTCCAGTGATCCCAAAGAGACCTGAGAAGGACGAGGTGAGTTATAACAGGTTTACTACATCTCTTTCCTAAACTAATTTTACTCAACAGTACTCAAGCAATATGTGCTAGCACATTGGTATATTAAAATAATTTACTTAGACTAGCTTCTACTTTTTGAAATTATAGAATTCATTTACTTTATTCCCCAGATTATAAATGCAGTAAAATACAACTTAATGTGTTAATTAATAAACAGTTATTTACACACTTCCATGACTTGCATAATCTTCACTCAGCTTTTCATAAGCATTTTAACTATTTGAGAACCTGCTATTCTTAATATAGAAAGTCTTACAAAAAGCATTAGAAGTGAATTTACAAGTTACAGCAAAACTTCTCAAACCCACCATCTACTTCAGTCAATAATGGCATATTCAAACTATGAAGTCAAAAAGTGACTAACATCTTAACATCTGAAGCATCAAATATTTGATATAAAGCAATTATTAAAAAACTGCATATGCTGTAAAATTAATAAGAAAGTTGCATGATCACCAACTTAAATTCTGGTTTACGTTGGTAACACCATTGGTTTACAATGGTAAGTTTTGTTATTGGTTTATATTTCTTGGATTTCCGAATGTACAGCTTTCGGCATAGATATGCAATAAAGTATTACAAACTGAAAATATTGATCACAGTGCAGAAGATTTCTAACCATTATTCAATGATGTAGAAATCAAATAACAGTATACCCTATTATATAATAAGCTTAAGACATTACACACATTTGCATGTTCCTGTTAAAATTTCATAAAAGTTTTATTGAATGGTAATATAGCAGTCTTCTCAGTGGTACTATCAACAGTGCCAGGTATGATTAAGTGGGAATCTTGATGTTAATCTTACTGACATAGTATGGCTTAGTTTTGAATTTCATACTAGTTATGGGCAAAATAATAAACGATACACCCGATTTCAATAATGATGAAAGAAAATCTTTGATCACTTCTCATACAAAAGCACATATCAGAAACTTATTTTGCATCAAATTCCCCATTATTTTAATAAGCATCAAATACAATCACATACACTGCCAGACATCAAGAATTTTTTACCTTTTTATAGTCAATACACTTCAAATATACCAAAAATACAAATAAGTTTCGAAAGTCGACAAAAACATTCAGCTGCAGCATATAAATTACCTTATTATAATAAATAGACATATCACTAAAGCACTGCATATATTAATGCAAATCTTATTGCCCATTTTAAACATGCACAGATAAGTTTACATTTCAGTTTATTTGTAATCCTTTATGATAACCTATTTACTTGATGCTTTTTTCCTGCCAATCAATCAGAAATGGTCAAATAAAACTGAGTGGCTGCACTTTTTATACGATGAACTTCAACACATAGAACAATCTTCTAAGCATGTGCTTCCTAATTAATGAATCATGACGTACTACTGTGGCATAAAGCTCTAAGAGATAAACTTCAAAATTTCTGAACTCATTAATGCGTTTTAAGCCATTACGTCCAATACAAAACTTGCAGTCCTACACAAAACTTGCATAAGTCCTATGCATAAAAAAAAACTTGCATATTACATCTCTTAACAAAAGTATGTCATCACTCAACTCAAGAACTGGAGCTATGACACAATCACTACTACTGTCATCACTGGTACCAGTAGGACTTCCATAAATGTCATGAGGCCTATAATGGCTGTAGGATGATATTTCCTTGGTAAGATTGCATGATACAGAATCTGCAATAGAAGGAAGCTACCCCGCAAGAAAGAATCATGGCTGTCAGTTAGCATGGATAACCAAAGAATTTGTGCATAAACCTGGCCAGTACTGCTCACCATATGTCATCATGGAGTAACATACCCATCTTATCAGATGTGAACAATTTGGAAGATATAGTTTATGATACCTGATCATCTTTAGAAACCCTTCCCAAAAAATATACATAATGGCCTGATAATACAACAATCTGTAAGCTGTTTACATAGCCAATATTGTTGTAAGTGTCAAAAGCTATTTTCTAGCATGATAACATCCTTCCACATATGGGAGATGTCTCAAGAGAATATCTACTATGTGTCATAATAATTTCTTAGCCTCACCTAAATACGTTAGAATGTTCAATAAAACTATCTTGCAAAACACATGAAATTGCTGAACATATACACAATACACAGCCGCTAATGCCACAGAGCAGCATCTCATGATGCTTGTAATTAGTCTGTGCCAGAACCAATATCCACATGTAGTGCCACCAGAAGCAGTTACACATCATATTAATATATAGAAAATTTTGATTTGCTTAGATGATTACTATCCACTTTTCATTTACATTATAGGGTAACAAACTAAAAATGTCCTAGCATATCAGTGCCTCACAGCAGCTTTATAATTATTGCTTTCTTCAAGTTAATAAATGATCTTCAGTAGGACGAAGAAATCCTTATCCTAGCACATGCTTATACAAACTTCTGTGCCGTGAGCAATGGCCAATCTGTGTAAAGAACTAACCATTTTATGATGAGACACAGTTATGCAGATATTGTATTTTGGTTAAGCCTTCTTTCCCCTCCCCCCCTTAAAATTTGACAGAAACACCACCAATAACTTAACATTATATATTTTTTTTTAAAAAAAAAGGTTAATTCCCCTGCTAAATTTTTCATGATCCAGAATTTATTTTTTTCTCAAAAATTATGTTTTCCACAAAGGAGTCTTTTGCTATATTAAAATTCTACATGAACAAAGATTTTACATCTAAGGAATGAAATTTAATTATTTTCCTTATTAAATGCTGTTTTACGCAAATATTATATATATATATATATAATAAACAGCAGAGAAGATTGCAATATTACAACATTGTTTTTGTTTATGGGAACTTAACTTCATGATAATATAACACATATAAGGTGAAAAATAAAACCACCTCTTTACAGAATGCATAATTTCTAACTAAGAAATAAAATTACATGCACACTTTTCAAAATAAAGAATTAAAGCTTTGAAAGGGCTTGAAATCAACATAACAGAAGGAAGACAAAAAATTCTAAAGCCAATTTTACTGAACCAGAAAATCCATAAACTCTGCTTAAAGCCAAATTATTAGGATGAGCAAACTTTGAAATGTACCTTATACTTCTTAGGAGGTCTGCCTCTGGCTTTCCTCATAAGAGTACCTTCAGTGCAATCAGCAGAATTTCCCAATGACGTCTGTAAAATATTCGATTTTTTATTAATCCTGAATTTAATCATCTTAATTTTTCTTTTTAAATAAATTTTAATTTAAACCATCCTTTACTAACAGCTTCATATTAAGATATGTCATAACAATATTTCACTTTCCTGAGAATTAAAAGTTTAATAGGATGTTTGCAATATCCTTTTAAAATTTTAGATTCAAAAATGTTAGCCAAAAACTTGATAAAGGCTACTTTTGCATTCAGTTCTTTCCCACTTAACAAAAAGACGAATCCTGCATGATCAGAAACAATCTTGAAAATCGAAACAGAACGACTAAGGAATGAGTTAGTTAATATTCATGGGCTCAGCCTATAAGTTGCCACTGAGAAATACTTTTTTCAGGAATCTTGCTTGCATTTCCATTATAATAAAAATAAATGTGAAAATTCCATGTAGTTAACCCATTTAGCCACCAGAAAACAAATCCAGGATGAATTGTGAGTGTTCTGTGCTTTCAGCGAACTGAACCACTGAACTCTGTTCCATTTCACAAATATAACAGAAATATGATGCATGAAATCTTCCATAAATTCAACCAGCAGGAAGATATCAAACTAATCCAATGCAGTATGATCACTTACATGATATTTTAATAACACCACTGATGAACAAGAATTTAAAATCAAGATAATACCAGAAAAGAAAAACCTCTCCCTCTGGTGTAAATATTTTAACTAGAGAATTAGATTAGAAGTCTTGTTATACATTTTTAATTAAATGATCGACTTCCAAACACTTAAATATAAACATTCAGTAAAGCATTAGAATTAGGAAAGGGATGAAGAAAAAAGGAGCTTAAAATCTTATTTCTGCTTACCATTTTTTAACTTTTATGGCTGAGCAATATCCATACATATTAAATACCATACGGATCGAATAAATAATCAACTTAAAAATATAATGTCTTGTGTGAATCATTCAGGTTTTAAAAAGATTGAGAAAATAATTCAGGTTTTTTATTACATCATCTCAGTCAATTATGTTTAAATTTAAAAATGAATAAAAGCATTAAAATTTTTAAAGGGGAAATGTTCTTATTATATCCCACTTGCAAAGTGAAATAATATTATTTTTGGAAAGACTTTCAGTCAACAGATCTAAATGTCTGTGATAGCTCAAAGAACATTTTTCTCATGATGGACATTGCAAAACATTTCTTGAACCTAACAGCACAGTCAAAAAGCCAAAGGTGAAAAGATCTGTTCAAGACAAGTCCGTTACAAATCTCACATGAAGAAACTTCCTGCACATAATTCTGATGTAAAAAAAAAATAAAAAAAAACAGCAGGTCTGTATTTTCTAAAGATGCTATCTGATCTCTAAAGATGATATTGCTGATCTAGAATGAAATGTTTTCACTGCTGAATTTCTAATTTCTAAATTTTGTAAGCAAAAACACAACATTATTTCCCCTTGGGAATGAAAACCCATTGTGATCACTATAAAACTTCAACAGCAGAATCTAGACGATGATTGTTCAAGTTAAAAAAAAATTTTTAATCACTCAAGATCTAGGTCCAAAATGTGTTTCCAGCTGACATTGCTATCATTATTGCAGACTGCCAATGATGCCATACACACACACACACACACACACACACACAAAAAAAAAAAAAAAAAAAGTAAGAACTCAAAATATTTTCCTTAGATCAAATGGCCATGCATGCAGAATTATACTGCATGTCAAAAAGCCAGTGATTCATAAGCTGTGGTCAATCAATCTATGTGCTATAGTCAAAAGTTTACAACTGATTTCCAAACTAAAATCTAATGTTGTTTAATTAATTATGAAAAATATAATAAAAATATTATGTATATTAATAGGAGAAGCTGACAATGTGCAAGTCATTTTAAAAGGATTTTTGAGCTTTCTAAATTTAACAGTACAAGACACAGAGTTTACAAGAAGAGACACACATACAAAGTTTTAGGATTAAAATTATAGAAAACGAGGATTTCAAGGAATCAATTTTATTGTGGTTTAGCCTAAAGCCTACATTTCTTTTACTGCATATGCACCTATGAGCATATCTACACAGCTACTGGATATCCTTGTTCTCCAGTCTCTAAAATATCCACATAATGATGATGTTCTAGGTAATCTTCTGATTTAAGAAACAGAAAATAGTTTATAGATGTCCCTTTTCATGAGACGGTATTTATATATTTTTTTTTAAATGAATTACTTCATCATAGTTTCATTACAAATTTTGTTGCTGAATCCATAATAATGGATACTGGTTTCACAATATTAAAAAAAATCCATTTATGTTTCCAGAAACGCAAACATAATGGCTATTCAAGTATTATGTCACAAATGAAAATACCCATACCTCTGACTGGCGATTTTACTGTACTTAACAGTGTAATGATCTCCGGTATCCCTGCATACTTCTCTTCAAGAAGGTTATTGGACATTTAATTTTAGGAAAAAATAATTCAAATCTGAGATTCTTTGTCAAACGGTAAAGGATGCCATATATTATTTCCAACAATACGGAATCATACAGCTGAAAAAAACAGCGTAAAAATGGCCATAACATGGATCTAAAATCAGATAAACAATCGCAATGCAATATTTCTAGCTGCAAATAATATGGCTGTTATTATGCAAACATACATACATACTATGCTTTTAAAAATCAAATACAATTATTATCCCAACAACATTAAACATCTTTTACTGCACTGCACCAACATCCATGGGGATAGGGGATTCACTTTCATTCACGGGTATTTAGATGTGTTAGTTGCTACCAGTTACTGTTTCATAGCTTTGCTGGCACTGGGAGATTGGTAGAAAAATTCAGTTCTATAACTTTGTAGATGAAAATGTGAAGGAACGTGTAGACAGTGATCAGATTTGAGAGCCATTGGCAAATTATCAAATACATAAGAATTTATTACCTAGAAAATTCCTCAACTTTTATATTATCATATGCCTTCAGATTATAAATGAAAGTTCTCTAATGAAAAGACATAAAAAAAACACTTCCAAAAGAATGAAAAATAATTATTATCATTATATAATCTAACTTTAGATAATCTGCTTGATGCTGAATAACTAGATAATTTTTAAGAATGGTATTTATAGGAGAAAATTGCTATTTATGCTACAACTACATCCAATTATTTTCTAATGTCCTACTTTACCTGCCCACAATTTCTGAAAAGTACAGTTATGAAATATCTGATACTCATAAATTATATTTTGATAAATATTCAAGTATCTAATATGCAATTTTAAACATGAAATTAATTTTTAATGAACACAGAAAATACATTTCTTTTAATATAAATTATTATGAAAGATAATAACTAAATTTTATAAACAAACACAGTTTACCCTTAGACGAGCTGCATGAGATTTCTTTGCTAATTTTGAACGTGCTCGAGTTCTAGTCCTAGTTTTCGGACCACCCGCATTCACATTTTCTTCATCGTGCTGATTCAAATGCTTCTGCAGATCCACTGAAGTTGAAAACCTCTGATTGCATTCAAAACATGGCCAGGCATTTTCCTGTTCTTGCAAAGCTATTATATATGATTTTAATATTCAAAGAATTCTTCATTAAGTAAAACATTCATATTTGAAATAAAATGTACTGATAAAGTAAAATAGCCTTTGCTTGACTGACCTCTTTTTTCTTCTTCATTTGGCTCTAAAACTGGTAGACCCCACTTTTCAGCATATGTGGCAGAGTACCAGACTCTCAGCTCTGTTTTAGGGTTAATCGAACGTGTTGTATTGAAAAACAGAGACTGGCCTTGTTGGACTAGAACAAGATTTTGTTCTTTGTGCGTATCAGCAGGCCGAACAAAGCGCATCCAATTACTCATAGATTCATCAGATGTATCTAAATATAAAGCAACACCATCTTCATGTTCCACCTGAATAAAATACAAAAGACAAAAATATGATCATCTAAGTAGTATTAAATAATAATATCAATAAAGTATCAAAAGTAGTATTAACTTATAATAATAATAAAAACAATTAAGAATTTTGGTATTTCAAACATTCTTCTTGAGTTGTTTTTAGCTGATCTTCATCTACAAGAATTATTATTAAGATATTAAGATTTCATCATCATCTTGTCTGGGCATTGAAGGATATAGATAAACCCATAACATAAAACTTATATACATTTTGAACACATGAAGGGCAGAATATTTGAGTATAATCGTATTGTGACAGCATACAGTACAAGACTTTAAATTTAATAAATGTGAGCAAATACTGGGAATTAAAAGTATTATGGTTAAACAGGTATACAGTATAATAATATATATATATATATATCTATATATATATTTGTACATGGCAGTATTTCTATTTTTTGCACATGTACGAGCAGTAAACAAGTCACAGCATCATTTGGCAAAAGATTACTTCTTTTTACTTTTCAGTAGTTTGTTTAGAGCACAGCAGTTTAAAATCTTTTGCAGCTTTTGCAGAGGATACTTATCACCAATGGAGAAGTACTGCAGAAAATAATCATAAACATATTTCAAAACATTCCCCATCATGTAAACACATCGAAACACATACACAATGCAATAAAATTATACATTCCTTTCAGCATTGATATACAAGTACTTTTCTTATTTTCCTTATGTACTAGAAAATGAGACGAATAATGCATATTTCAATCAGTTTCGATTATTTTCATTCATCTAAAATTCACAAACCTTCACGATTCTTTTAAATTTAAGACTTGTAAGTTTAAAAAAATATTAAATTATGACAAAAATGCTATTTTCATACAGTAAATCTTTCTTTGTAATAAATACAAATTAACAGTGTTTACCAATAAAATAAAATTATCACTTGGTGGATCTTCTCGCTTAACCAAAACACCCTCAATTGGTCCAAACTGAGTTCTTTTTGGTATTGTTTTCTTGGCAAAAACTCCATACACTAAAATGAAATGAAACAGTAAGTTATGATGACAAATATTTCACATACTTTGATGACAGAATTTATAAACATAAAATATATATGGAAATGATACAAAGAAGTAATTCCATCATGTGTAAATTCATTTTATCTTTACTAAGGAAGTAACATCTTCCTTTCCCCCTTTACTCATGAAATACCGTGTATATTAAATATTACTTTTAAGCTGTAAATTTTCAGCCTTAGCAAGATTTCAAAAATACTTTATAATCCAAAAAGAAATTTCCTCAACATTAATAGTTTCTTTGACAATGTAAGTTCAGCAGTGACTTAAGCAATACCTTCACTTCTCTACTGAAGCCATGTTCTCTGATGAATTTCTGTCAAAGAGAGTTTGCCAAACATACAATGTGTCACAGCTTTCAATTTATTACAGATGGTACTTATAATTTATTACAGACCATATGTATTTTCATTGTTTTGACATGAACTATCTTCTGGGACAACAAATGAATATAAACATATTGCAAGCATTCCATTCTGTATTTAAAAAAGAAAAAAGAAAAAATCCAATATTCTGTGATTTTTTTTATTCAAATTTTTAGACTACAGCAATCTACCATGTTTAAAATTTCATTTTAAAAGACTTAATATAGAAGTTTCATTTCCAATACAAACATGATTTTTTAGAAATATTAAATATCACTGAGTATATTAAATTTTTCCACTCTTTCTCACATCTTTGTCTTTTACAAAAAGTTTAGTAATATTTCACTTTTTACAGTCTAAGGCATCTGAAAATTATTTAACACCAATTCCTTTGCTTCAGAACCAAATTCAGTTAGCTGAAACACAGCTTGAAACAGCAATGAAATGTAACACTGAATCAATATCACTGTTCTCCATTTGACACAAAGTGCGTCATATTCACTTATTTCCAGCTTTTTTAAAGCTGGAGTTTTTTTTGGGGGGGAGGAGATGGGGTTATTGTTTGATTTTTGAGAGATGAACATGTATTTTACAGTGAAAACACATAATTCAAATTGCTCATATGTAAAATCAGAAAAATGAAAAATGTCTATGTAGTCTTACTCATTGATAATGGTAACAACTGTTGTTTGGAAGTTGGTTCATGTTGTATGGAAAGCGTGACCTGAAAGTTTCTTAAATCCAGAAAGGGGAATATTAAAAAATTCAATTAAGTATTAAAAAAAAATCTCAAGAATAATTCTGTCAATCCATGTGGAAATTTGTAGGTGATCACTCATTGCACAGTTCTGGGGTTTTTGTAACAGGAAATTTCTTTAAGATTTCTTAAACTTATTAGGAAATATTTTGCTACAGTATAGCAAATTCAATAATGAAATGAAGTGAACTCTTGTTTAGAGTAAGTTACTTTACATGCTGCAGGAGGGGGGGCAGGAAGGAGATAAATCTATTAACAGCTAGTACACGATCATGAAACTGTTAGATAAGCATTGCAATATAAGTTGGTAAACTATGGTTACATGGGTCATCGGGACCACATTTAAAAAATCCTGAAAAATCCTGTGCAATAAAAATCTGATATAATTTCAAATAATTCTGAATATGTTGTGAAAAACTTACTTTTGTGCAAATACATATATATATTGAAAATATTTCACTAGCAAAGCTAAAAACATAATTTTGATAAATTTATTTAAGATTAATTTATGTTTCACTAAATCAATTCATGTAGTTACTTCTCATTTGGCTTCTCGATAATTTTAAAGTTTACTTTTTCCTGAAGGGAAGGGAGGTTACGTTCTGGGAAATGCTGTGTTTGTAATTTTCTTTGCTAACAACTGAAAATTCGGTATGGTCAGCAAGACATTCTGATGTAGACTATAGATTTAACTCTTTAAATATTAAATTAGAGCTTGCAACATGCACATCAACAGATTTTGGAGATGAGAAACTACTAGAAAGTAGAGAAATGTTCATGGAATATATAGAATTTTGGTAAGCTGTCCCAAAACCTTTACCAATAGTCCTCAGATACATTTTCAGATCCAAAAGCTTCATATGTAGTTTTGTATAATATGAATAAATAAATATTAATCTGTGCAAAATCTAAGCTATTATTGTTCAAGAGTTTCTCATTCTGACACAACATGACTCGAATAATTAAATGAACAAACGTTCAACAATGAGTCAGTAGAAGCAAGTTTATAGAGACTTAACCAATCTTGTCAATCTGGTTATTCTTTTAATCTGAATACTTCAGCCCAAAATTACAATATCAGTTTATTTTGTTTCTGCATAAGATAAATACAAAAATAACTTTTTTTGTATAAGACAAACTTAGTTTGCTTAAACACAAAGCTTCACCTCTTAATAAATTTTGAATAGTCTAAAAGTTTTAAACTTAGGTAATTGCTGAATGACATGTTAGTTCTAAAACGAAATGTGAAAAAGATTTTAATTTTACGGATTTATACCCACATTCTGCAAATCTGGAAAAAATTAAGATTTGACAAAGTAAAAAATCTGGAATTCTGGCTATATCCAGACCACAATCACCCCAAGGTTAAATGATGCAACTAAAATTTGAAAGTCGATCATTTAATATTTTAAACTAAGACCTAATAACTCAGCTGATTAAATGGAACAGGAAATGAAGGCAAGTAATAAACTCCTGTTTATTGGGTCACCTCTTTATAACAGATAAATGTTCAGTATCTTTTTTCACAAACACATACTGTTTATAAAATGTGCTTATGCATTCATGATGAATGCACACAGAACCAATGACAGCTTGATAAAATGTATTTTTCAAAAGAAATATTTTACAGTTCTAGAAGTTTTCTCATACAGCTCTTCTCAGCATGACAGAGTACAATCAACAATTATCACTTCAAATTACTAAGAATGTTAAACACAACACAATATAAAATGCCTCAATTGCATAAGCTTGCACAGTGCACCCTCAATACTCCAAGCTGAACTCTGAACTAAAAACTGAGAACTGATGCTCTTTTCAGTCTTGCACAGTTTTTCTCCAGCTGCTGAAACATTTCCAGTATCTTTGATTTTCTAGATATTGCTGGAAAGCACCCACAGTTATAGTTACATAGGACTCAATATGGTTACAATTAGGAAGCGACAGGACCAGTTGTAGTTACACAGGTGTTGGACCAAAATGTCACAAAGTTTGGTGACACTAGGTGATTTCTAACCAAATTTGGCAACAAAAACCATCTACAGTGCTATCTTGTTTGTCCATTTACCTCAAATGGACTTACCCTTCTAACCTTATTTTTTCGGTGAAGCTTCACTCTCGAGGTCTTTCATATTACATTATACAACAGATACTAGAATTTTACATATAATTTATAATTATATACATGAAAAATTTGTAACAACAAATTTAATTAGTTCAGCTTATTTTTAGCAATTTAGAGTAATACAATATTAAGCACAGACACTAAAGTATACTTACAATAGAAATAGACTTTAAAAAGTTTGATTACGCTAATCAAAATTAAAATTTTTGGAAAAAGGAAAAATATTTACATTACGAATCAAGTATGCAATATGCTACCTATTTAGTGGAGCAGAACAAGAAGCTAATAGAGAAAAATGTATATAAATAAGTAAAGTATGCAGCAAAACAAGCATACATTCTTCAGTACACTTCAGTCTACAGCATTGCCCTTGTATTCTGACACAGCCATCAATACAATATAAAAGAAACTGTGCTTCTTTCGAGAAGACAATAGTTTTCTATTGTTAAATAATGCAAGATCTACAAAATTTGGTATTTGCATATTATCAGAAACACAGGCAATTTTTAGCATAAAGGGGAAAATATGATTTACAGTTCAAAAAACTTCATTGACTGTATACATATTTAATGTTTTAATTAGATATTTATCCTCAAACTAGATCAATAAATTTACTTACAAACAGGTTCTTATTTAAATTCTGTGGTGAAATGTTTTTCAAAATAGATTCAAAGCAGTTATGTGCTTTAATAATTTTGAGAAAAATACTGCTTTTCTTTAGAAAGTGTATCATCTTTTTCTAGCCATCTTTAACCAACAAATTCATACTTTATAATTGGCTTTAAGGTAAAAATTAAGATGATTTGTCAACAAAAATCATTGGAACTTGGAATACAGTAAAAAGTATGTGCATGCAAAAATGCTTGTTAAAATTAAAGAATTGTTATGCATGTATAGTTTTGGAAATCATATGAATTTGGTGAATTCTGGGGTGGTTTCACTAATACATGACTACGTAGAATTCTATTAGATAAAGCAAGCAGCAGGAAAATTTATAACACAACTAAATTTATCAAGTTTCAAGGTCTCATTTCTTTACATGAAATATGCAAAGTTATACAATATAACAGGATTTCACTGCATACACTTTAATTTTTTTAAAACATTAACTTAGACACAAAACTGTAATTCACAATACCTGGATCTCCATCATCATCGATTCCAATCTTATTCACATAAAGGTATGTTGCTGGCAAACTTGCCCATGCACGGCTTAAAACTGGTTTATCAAAAATTAATTGTATCCTATGTTGAGAGCATTCTTTATCATAAAATGTACCACAATCTTCACACCCTAAAAATTAAACAGAAAATAATAACCACACAGTTTTCAAACGAATTTTAGTAAGCAGTAATTGATGGTCAAACTTTAAATTTTATTTTATATGTTAAAATTATTAATACAAATATTATTCTAATTACAATATTTTGCAAACTGCATAAAAAGTTTACAAAATTAGGATCAAAAGCAACCACTATGATAAAATGAGAAATAAAATATTCATAATAAATTATCTTTTAAGAGTTAAAAAAGTGAAGTTGGATTGCTACATATAAAAAACACTACAACCTTCTACATTTACATATAAAAAAGGTTCTTTCCAACTGCCCACAACCTCCACCAAAAATTCATGTGGCAATCAAAGTATGCATGTAGCATGCCCTCAGACAGTTCACTTCTCCCGATATTTTTGCCAGTTGACTGCAGATTATGATCCTTCCTATGGGAATTTCAGTATTTTAGCATAGTGGTGGATTGCATACTATTGTCATGTTGATCAAAATCTCAGATTTAGCTTTCTGTGCACATTAATGTGGCTTAACCAATTTGACACGATTTTTGCATGATTAAAATTGATTATGACAAGTAGTTTAATTTAGTGTTGGTATATTAAAAGAAGTGTTAACTTTTCCCGTTTTCTGAAAATCTCCTGGGACTGTATGTCCCAATCATATTGTCAACTGGGACTATTAGTCCTAATCCTCTAGACTATTACCCTTTCTCAGAAAATAAAACTAAAATTTACAGTAGTACATAATGTGAATATAACAAAACATAAACTCTCACATGCACTAGTTCATATACAACAGAAATTTTCCTATATATTTCATAAACACAAACATAATATATCAGCGTATAGTAATTTGACCACTGGTGGGAATATTAATCCACTGTTAAATATGATTGGGACAATATACCACACAAAAAGAATTTATTCAAAATTTCTTAAATCTGACATTAAAAATGTTAAATTACTACTCAATAAGAACTACTTCATACTTAACTATAATTTTACTTACAGTAAAATTAAAAAAAAAAAAAAAAAAAAAAAAATTGAAACTTTAGTAATCGGCATTCTCAAAAACATAAAGGCACCATCTGCAATCTAAAAGTGCTGCCAGGTTTCTTTAGTCATATATTTGATCCCTAATTCTTTAAAAACACTGAAAATGTAAAAAACCCTGAAATCTAATCTCTGGGATGCTATGTGCTCATTAGGACCGAAAAGGTTAAAGACATTATGCACCACATTTTATTTTCTCATCTTGTATGTGGGGGGGGGGGGGAATTATTGGCACTGGGTGCATTACTGACATGCTTGGATTGATTTCTCTCCAAAGTCACCAACAAACTGGCACTGGTAAAGTTCACAAATGTTCACCTTTGTGACTTTTTGGTAGAGGTGAGGATAATCAAATAAAAAAGAGAAAGAGAGGGAAGAATTCTAAATCAGCAGGGAGATGTTCTACTTCATCTGCTATTAACACAATAAAACTTACCAGCTGTAATAATATAAATGTTAAAGATGCATCATTACCAAATAATCAATCAACTTACCAGCTGTAATAATATAAATGTCAAAGATGTATCATTACCAAATAATCAATCACACAAGTCGATTTTGTTATTAAAAACTACAGCAAGGGGAAAAAATGAATAATGAACAAATTGCCATAAGTAATAATAAAAAAAAAAATCTAAGAAATGAAGAGTTCCATACAGAAACAACTTCATAAGAGAAAAAAAAAAATATTCAGAAAAATTCAGGAGGGGGGAAAGCATAAAGTGAATTTTATAGAGCAAAACATGGCATAAATTTGAATATTGCGAAACATACTTAGTGTTGGGGAAGCACATTTACTGCTTGAAGAAAGAAAAATTAGATGCATGAAATTCAGTTTTATTCCTCTCACTATAAAAGGAATTAAAATATTGTATTTCAAAGTATCTATTAACTTATTTAAATTTGACAATACAGCTAGTCTTTAAACAAAAACCTTCAACATTGCAAACATAAATGTCTTTCTTAAGGTTCAAAATTATTGATAATAATCAGACAAAAAAAAAAAACTTCATTCATGAACAGCTTCAGTTTTGTAAATGCATTAAAAAAGTTGCAAAAATGAAGAAGGACTTTGCATTCAATAATTAATGAGAAGTTTGTAAAATACAATTACAAGGGTTACACCCCCTCCACTGTAGATCAGCGAAAATCACATATAAATACCGAAGTTGGAGATTTTCAATGCCATACATAATTCAGAAAAACTTCATTGAAAATGTTGGATACTATTTTGAAACCTTTTGAAAAACACTGAATACTTCAAACATCTGATTAGCACAATCTTTGCTTTCTTTGATTTTTCAGACTTCTAGAAGTAGAAAATAAATCGAAGTACACAGTATTAAAATTACTGGTTTCAATGGATAAGTTCAGTTGCTATTGTTAGTAGTGCAATACATGAATGGGCATATCTTGTGTTAATTTTAGTTGAGAACTTATTCTGAAGCATTAGTGGTTGGCGAGAACTTGATACTCAGTTTAATGTCTTTTTTTGCACTAGTTTTTATAGGATAATTAGCAAGTTGTGATAGAAACTAAAATTTCAGCAAACAAGTTTTTTTTTATGAATTTATAGAGCCAATCTTTCAAAAACATTAATTCAACTATTAGATACATCTAGACTAGAAAGAACTTTTCAGAGAAACAATAAAAGCCTTAGCAATTACAACATTCAGAACTGTGTGTTTAGGTTCAAATTTCAGAAATGACAATGGGATTATGCAGCAAGTTTAGTACTGTAGACATTTTAAAAGTTTATATTTGGACTAAGCTGTTTTTTGAAAACTGAAAGAGATGCTTTTGAATGGTTTTTGTTGCCTCAACTTTGTGTGATAAGTAATTTTATTGCTCAGGCTCTTGCATTCAATTTGTGCCTTATCAGTAAATCCCAAAGAATACTTGAGAACAATTGATTTAATAATAATAGCACATCTTAGCTTTCCTGACTTCATTAACCACTTGCCTGTTTTGACCATGTGCTGCATGGGAGCTGCTTTTGGACCTTTACTAGTTTATGCTGTATGGCTCACTTCTCTGTTGCTTTTACCATTTTGCTCGTATCTTTCCTATTTTTAATATCAAAAGGTGTTAAAATAGATGACAGAGATGTCCACTAAGTGTTAGTTTGTAAAGTCTATTTTGTTCCACTCTAACTGGTTGATGTGAAAGAGGCAATTTTTTTTTTTTTTTTTTTTTTTTTTTTTTACCGACCGTAAATAATGGCCAATTCGAAATCAGAATCTGAAATGTCTGTAAATGAGACTGGAGGCAGTGAAAGTTCTCTTGGTGAGTCTGATGCTAGTTTAAAAAACATCACACATTAATATTAAAAATAATAAAAATATGTGTGCCCTTAATTAATTTATGAAGGTTTATACCTTTGACAATGACTTTGATATTCAAAAGATATCAGTTTATAGTTTTGACTGGACATTATCATTTGACTGACTGAAAGGGATGCAACAACAGATAGTAAAGGAAATGTCTTCCTGGATGTTTACCAGCTCCACTAAGACATAGAGGGACACTTTTCAGAGGTGATTTTGCCTGAAGGGAAATAAATAAATAAAAAACACAAAAGATGGTGCTTTGTGTGCTCACTGAAGAAAAATGACTACAGCAAAAGAATTAAGAGAGTCGGCATTTTTTTCTGAACTTGGTGATGCTTGAATGAACTCTCACCTCATTTTTTAAGATGTCTCATACAAAATCAGATCTTTTGGGGAAAAAAATCGAAGTAAATGTTATGTTTAGTAATTGTAATTGAACATAATTGTAAAGCAATTGTACTTTTTATATATATAACCCCAAATGTAACTTCCCTGTTAGGTGTTCATGTAAGAAAAGACAACTTCCATGAAAAATATTAATTTATTTGCAGCCAAAACAAAAAGCTGTTCTAAATGCTTATATTAAAATTACTTCAAATGTTAATTTTAATAGCATTTTCCTAGATATAAATTTAAAATAAACAAAAAATGCACTAAAAAATGACATCTTTTGGATCGAATTTGGGAAAAATTAATCAGGTAATTAATATCATATTTATGAAAAACTTGGTGATGACTGTTTGAAAATTCAAGAGTACAGTGAAAGATGTTAAGTTAACCATCAGTGATGCAACCTACAGAGTTGGCTGAAGTAGTTTACAGTTTCTGAATAACTCAATATAAAGTCAGTAAGTTTCTATTAAAATTAGCAGTACAACATTTTCATGTACTAATCTTGCTTCGAGAGCATAAAGCATTTAAATTTAACCCTTTAATAGTTTGCCTCAGATTCTCTCGCACTTGTATGGAGGCTCCTTAATGGGTCATTAATTTAATTGTTATTTTAAATATACTGTCAAATACAGACCATCTTGTACTTTTGTTAGAATTTAAAAATATGCCAAATATAGACAGCTTGGATTTTTGTCCGTATTTTCACTCCCAAATGTCTAAGGGGACAAACCTCTAATCAAACATGACAACAATGGGTAATGACCCTCATAGTGCAAGAAGAAATCTATATGTTTTACAATAAAGACCTTATATTGGCTCAAAAGAAAAAATTATGAGTTAAAGTCAATAGATATAGCAGAAGAATTAAAAATACCTGTTTTGGAACAGTTTAAAGAATTTAAAAAAACATTTTTTAAAAAAAGGTTTCTATAAAATAAGCTTCTATTGAAAACTCATAAAATTACTAAGGAACTAATTAAGAGGAGAAAATAATTTATCATATAGTTTAATGAGAACAAAAGATTAAATAATTCTCTACAAAATTCATTAACACATTAAATATCACAAATAATAAAAATATGTGCACCCTTCATAAATTTATGAATGATTATACATTTGACAATGACTCCGATATTCGATAGTGTTAAAGAAAAAGTTCTTTAATAAGATTCCCTTTTTTTATATAATGTTAATAAATAAAGTAAAGAAAATAGAAATAAAGGAAGCTACATTTTTAGTTACACAGAAGTGGAAGCTGGAGGAAAGGAAATTACTTCAAGTTTTGCTTAAAAATAATGACATAACAAATGATTTGAAAATAAAATGCAATGCATCAAAACTATTGCTATGAATACTCTGACACTGGCAATGGTTACATGATGGCATTCTGGAATATTCAATTACCCAAATATTGCAGGTTTCCAAAAATTTCTTCCAATACACAATTTAATTTTCCCATGCTTCAAAAAAATTTAATTTTCACAAGCTTCAAAAACTAAATGGAAACAATGCCAATTATTCATTTGAATGGTAAAGAAAGTATGATATAAAGGTAAAAAATTTTAGAAATTACACATTGAAGAGACAGAAATATAGCGAATTTTAACTTACAATGTCTATTACTTCTTAGATCTCTCCGGGGTCTTGAATATTCTGATTGCACAATTTCTGGAGAGTCTGCGATTGAAGTAGACTGAAGGGAATAACTAGGAGAATTTTCAGATATTCCAACAGGACTTCGAGTTGAGTCAGGGTGTGTAGCACTACTGACAGTCGCACAGCCATGCAGATCATCAACTGAATTATGAACATCACCAGAAACTGATTTTGAAAATTAAAAAATAATAATAAATTACTCTTTATTCAAAATATTATCTCAATGCAAAATACATAGACTTTAAAACAAAGCAACCTTGCCCCCCCCAAAAAAAAAGAATCACTAAGGAGTTATCTGATCATTATTCCATGTGAATATGTTTTGATCAAACATACAAATTATTAAATTTTGGTAGCCAGTCAATGAACAGATGAAACTAGAAAGCATCACAAATGAGCATTTGAATGACTTCTAAAACAGAAGAAATTCGAACTCAGGGACATAACTTTCATTCAAATTTGATTCCATCCAGATCACTTCCATTCTACCAATCCCTTTCCACTCAGCACTAAAACTGTCTTCAGTGATGAATTTCACTTAGGACTTGTCTATGATCACAGAGACATCGAAGGTAGCAATGAGATACTGCACTGGTTACACCATAAGGATGACAATAGAAAGAGTAGTTATTTATTATAGCAGTTCCCGAGACTGAATCGCCAATCAACCGAGATATTAAACCAAAGCCTGGCTGTCAGTTCTTGGCCCTCACCAAGTGATGGTATATTAGTACTGGATGCATGTTCTTATACTCAGCATCTAATCATATATTAGCACCGTGTGTCATTTTTGCTCTTGCCGCATATGTTCTTACATTATTCACTTTTGATGAGGTTTTCATATTCGTATTGTTTATTTAAAAATATATTCAATGCTTCCTTTCTTTTTGTGAATATGTTGTTAACAATCTTCAAATTACCAAGTAATGAGATGGATGTCATATCTTTTCAAGAAAGAGGTCTTTTACATGACAACGAGTTTGTGAAAATGGCCACAATGGAACTTCATTTTAGATTTATGTGTTCTCGGGCAAACAAGTTAACATCTGTGAAATGGTGTAACAAACAGCTTAATATGTGTGAAAATGTGATGGTTGACTGGAACAATTATATGAGATAAAATAATTATAATAATAACAATGATAAGGATTATTAAAAATATTCTTAGAAAATAACATGTGAGTATTATTATTATTTAATATACGAGGGTTGGAACTTTAATAGTGGCAACACAGCTGAAAAAAACGCTATGCAACAAAACCAAAGAATATCGCGTATACCACACGTAAATTACATACCTACCTTACCTCTCAGCAAAAAGACTCGTGCTGCCTACATCACGCACATGCGGAATGACGCGAAGAACGGATCCTTATATTAGCTCGCGGTCTAAAGTAAGTGCTGTCAGGATGTTTTCAAAACAAAAACAACGATGTTGGATAAAAATTGAATGTGCCAGAGGTCGTACAGCACAACAGTGTCATCAAGGGCTTCAAGAGGCTTGCGGGGAATCTGCATTGCCTTACAGAACCGTAGCAAGATGGGTGAAAGCATTCAATGAAGGACGCCAAAACGTGGCAGACATGCTACGGCCAGGTCGTTCGAGTGTCAACGATGCAGATGTGCAAGCTGTTGCCGCACTAATGGACAGTGATCGCCGCCAAACGATTTGTCAGCTGGCCGGACAAACAGGATTAGCGCATACGACTGTGCTGCACATTCTGAAGGAACGCCTGTCCATGAGAGAAATTGCTTCATGATGGGTTCCACATCAATTGATGGAAATGCTGCAGAAATGGCTACGATACGATGCTGCCCGAACCCACCTGAAGCGCTATGAGAGCGAAGGAGATGCTTTTTTATGGCGCATCATTATGCTGGATGAGACTTGGGCCCGATCATAGCAGCCAGAACTGAAATGCCAATCAAACGAATGGAGTCATCACGGGTCACCACGACGTTCAAAATTTTGTCAGAACCCCAGCAATGTGAAAGTTATGGTGATTCTCGTGTACGACTGTGATTTCTGCGACTTCCACTTCATTGGAAATGGGTTGTACACAATGCTGGCGACTATATTGAAGGACTGTAAAACATGGTGACATGAACCACTTTTGTATTCCTTGTAAATAAATAGTTGCCACTATTAAAGTTCCAACCCTCGTATACTGTGTTTATTTTTACATTCACACTTCCCAAGCTTGGCGAAATTACAGCTGAGATCTTGATGCAAGTCTAAAATTACCAAATATAGTTGGGAGTCACTATAACAAAATACCATAGAAAATTACAGTTTGGAGCACAATTTCATTTGATTTTGATTATTTTCTATGACTCTATTACAGCTAGGTGGTACATCAACAGCAGTCTATATCCTTCGTTCCAGCACCCCAGACTTATATTTTGAAGGGTTTATGCCTAACAGCAGTATACAATACTTATTTCTACCAGCTGACTTCATATGTTGTCACCTGGCCAGCTAGACACCAGATCTTGTCCCAGTAGAGCATGTCTGGGGTCTGATGCACATGCACCTCAGACCATCTCACGAGTTGCTTATATACTACGATAACTGGAGAAAGTTTGGGAAGAAATTTTGCAGAAGGTCATCCATTAATCTGAGAGTCAATGCCAAGCTGGATAACACTTTGTACTAGGCCCATATGTAAGTTAATACTTTTTTGATTAATTTGTCGTATGCAGCTATATCTCCTGAATAAAACAATGAATTTCTCTGAAATTTTAATAACTTCTTTTTACCATCGATATACAATATGCTTATTCAATTTCATCCGATTTACATTACTCCTTCTAGGTATACTTCCTTCTTTTTCACATCTTAGAATGTATATACAAATATTTTGTTGTTATATTTTAAAAATGAAAATATTTTATTACTGCAATAAATTAAAAATCAAATATTTTGCATGCTAACAGTAAAAAATTATGAAACAAAAAGGCATGTCTATATTCAGAATTTTCCACTAAAATTCCCCTTCAATTTTCATGACCAAACATAAAAACAAATTATCAAATCAAGAACGAGAAAATATATAGTTTTATACATTTATTACAAAATACATGCAATAATAGGGTATATTATAAAAGTTTATTTTATTCATTACTGCAAAGCAAATGAAATTTACACAGAACATATATATCTAAATTTTTCAAAAAATAAAGTGTTACTACTAATATTACTCCAATCTTTGGATCTAATCCCATGTGATCTGGGGGGGGGGAGAGATCTCAAGGGTGATGTTGTGTTTTCTCTCCACTAATCCCCAGAACCTTTACAGCTATACAGTTGGTAAGACAGCAATGACTTACCACGATATGCTGGCCATAGTGACAAATAGTATCATGAAGATATCTATATTGTATCAGCAAATGTGGATACATTGACCACTTTCGAAAACAGATTTAAAAAAAAAAAAAAAATGGTAAATTTGTCCCTCCCCCAGAAGAGTAAAACTTGGTAATTATTGCCAGGCTTATTTTTTTAAGAATTTTTAAAATGATTCTAGTTCAGATTCTTAGAAAAGAGAGCAACGAAGAAACAGCTAGATTCATGCATTTCCATAAAAACAGTTACAGAAACTGAAAACTATCCAAATTCAGCATTTTTAGGATTTAATAAGGATGATTTATCCTATTCCTGTTCTTATCATTAAAAATCCTTCTGTGACCAGTTAATAACTATGTTGCAAATGTAAATCAGAAAACATTTTGTTATCAAATAAAATTTTAAAAAAAAATGTTTAAATAAAAAGTTTTTTCTAGAAGACTGCCAATAGATCACAAAAATATAAGAATCTCTCAGCTAATATAAATTACACGTAATTCATAACCATTTGCAGAGAAAGTGGATATTTCTTATGATGATTTTATCTATTCTTCCATTTGGCTGAATTCGCATTCATGTGGTTAATATTTCAAATTTAAAATCCACCTGCAACTCAATATAAGCTTAAAACTCTTAAATATTGATAAAATGATAACTTATTAATTTGCGGCAAAGTTTCTGAATTTTCACATTTGCATGCAGTATTCAACTTCCTGCGCTGTATCCTATGTACACTCGCTGTAGTTGAGAATCTAAAAACTGAACCTTTTACCAAGAGTGTCACTTTCTTTTGCACCTGTTCCTGTTTGTCCATGCCCGACATTTGACAGACTTTCAACATGTGTTCAGTTTTTGGATTTTACTTTTGCTTTTATTTAAAATAAAGTTATTTTTATGTTTTGTCAAAGTTCTCGACCTTCCTTTAAATGTACCTTCTGACAAGTGTACAGCCATGTGGCAGTCAAATTTGTAAAACTGTTTTGTTTTCCAATAAGTAAATATATGAAATATTCAGGTATGTAAATTTTCATGGTAATACAAATTCAAATGCATGATTTACAGTATTATAATACTACTGAATATTTTACAAATTACACATAAGCTAATGCTTAATGCTCAATTTATACTTACACTGACTATGTGCATTAAAATGGTGATTTGTAGAACTTAGCGCTTCATTAGCTTCAAGAGCAGAGCTGTTGCTTAGAACTGATGTTACAGCCTCATTTGTAGTACTTTCATCACAAGAATTCATATCAGATATGTGGCAACTGTATTCTATAAAAGGAATAGAAACTACTTAAGCCTACTACCTTTTGGTGCACTGAGGCAAATTAAACAGCATATATAAATTGCTAATGTTATATATATATATAACATTAGCAATTTTCAAGGTTGACTACGGAAGAGAACATAATTTAACAAAGAATTTGATAAAATGTTCTGAATGCATAGCTAGTAAATAAAACAAACCCAATTTACTTATGAACTTTATTATGTAAATGCTACTGTTATTACTATAAGCTATTCATCGAGCCAAAGAAATTAAACATGTTTACTTTGCCATAATAAATGAAATTGCATGAAAAATATTTCTCCATTAAAAACTCTTAACTGTTATGCTTTACCATTGGTTGCAAATAAATACATGACTTTTACATTCCTAAATTCTCATTTATTTTTTCCTTTCATTAAAAAAAAACTTGGAACTAAAATCCTGATTTAAAGGAATTAAAGTAAGACATAATTATTTCTGGAAGATTTTACTTATTTCATAGCTTCTTTAATGTGTTTAAAGATTAACCAGCAAAAATAGTAAAAATGAAGTTAAAACCGAGATGAAATACTCTAGGTTGACACAGCAAAATCACATTTAAACATAAGTCTGCTTCATCATCTGCTATGGAATGCATGGTTTGATAAGTTTCATTGTCTTTTGTTGCTTTCTGTAAGACTGTTATATTCAGAATCAAGGTCCATATATATGCAAGGCTGAACTGAAGGTCTCTGTTGCAACAGGGTTTGAAGATGATTGTGAGTGCTTCTTTAATTTTGAGGTGGCTTTTATGACACGGTTTGGTGACAATTTTGGATTTGTCCTATTTATTTATTGAGTGGATACACAATGAGGTATTTAACCAAAGATGTGCCATTTTCACCGATGAATTGATTGGCAAAACATTTACATATACCCCTTATTTTGGGTATTACTAGTGATAGTTTTTTAGACTGAGTTTCTGTATTTGTCTTTTCAATCCTGATACATTTATATATATATAAAGTTAGAGAAAACAAAATTTTCTACATGCTGCATTGTAAAATTAAGGATAGGTCAAACTAATGTCAGCATGAACAACAAGAAAGTCTCTTTATGGAATCATTTTTTGGAAGATATATTTGATGTTATCTTTGTGCCATGAAAACATTCAGATAAACTTGAAGTTCCATTTTCATTTATTTTAGAAAACATCACCAACCTGCAGGTTACAATTAATATCAATGATAGCATTCAATTTGTTGATCTCTTAATTTGAAGAAATGGCAATACTTTTTTAGACTGCAATCTATCACAGAACAAGCCTGCAATAATCTCCTCTAAATCTTTTTCATTTAATGCCTATAAAACAATTGCTTTTTATTTTTACTTAAAATGTAATAAAGACTTTTATTCAATTCCATAATTTTATGAAAATGAATATAAATACATACTACAAATTGCAGTAAAATAAACTTAAGCACAGTACCATCCATCTGGAAATTGCTAAAATCATGTCTCTACAACAGATACACTGTTTATCACAAATTAAGGAAAAATCACAAAAATTGCGATAACTCCCTCAAAAATAAGCCAAACGGTGTAAAATTTGAATATGTTGCCAAGTAAGAGTAGCTGAGTAAAACTGCGATATGCAAATTAGTGGTGCTGCACTCAGAATACGTCATCTGCGAGGAGCATAAAAGTCCATGTTTGAGAGCAAGCCCACATATTTCACTGTGATAAGTGACATCAGAAATCTGAGATAGCCAATTTGTAACAATGATCTCCAGGCATCATTTGCCTGCAGAACTATGATAGAAAGCCATTGGGAGACTAGAGGCAGGACAAAGTCAAACAGAAGTGGCCAGATGACTAAATGCGAGTCCTTCTGTGGTTCATAGACTTTGAAGGCAATTTCAAAATCACAAATTCGGCACCTAGGAAGTTCAGCCAAGAACGGGCAACTGCTACAACGAGCGCCGATGACCGATATTTGACAATATGTGCACTCAGGAATAGAACCACTACTAAGACTCTTCTTAGATCTCCCTTGCTGCAACCACCAGAAGGTTGGTGTCAATGTCAACTGTGCGTAGAAGGCTTCACGAAGGTGGTCTGTATGCGAGGCGAACAACCATTTGCATGCCGCTCAAGTCACGCCATAGGAGTGAACGTTTGCAGTGGGCATGACAACATGTCCACTGGACACCTGAGGAATGGAGGACTATTATCATTATGGATGAGTCCAGGTTTAGTCTAGAACGCGATAGTAGCCATTTTTTGATATGGAGAGAATCTAGAACCCATTATCATCCATCAAGCATCTGTGAAAGAGATGCATATGGAAGAGACAGTGTCTGTGTTTGGGGTGGCATCTCTTTGGGTGGACGCACAGACCTCCATGTTTTTCCAAGGGGAACCGTGAGTGCTCATGTTCATAAAGATGACATCCTTGATGCTTATGTGCGCCCATATGCTAGGGCAATAGGTGATGTTTCCTGTTACAGGTTGACAACGCAAGACCACACAGGGCTCGCATCGTATATGATTATTTTCAACAGGAAACAATTATGCGTATGGAGTGGCCAGCTCAATCCCTGGACAAAAATCCTATCGAGCACGTTCGGGATGCTTTAGGGAGACGTCTAGCTGCTTTCAATCTGCCCCCTTAGACCCTTGCTGTGCTTGCAACTGCTTTACGAGAGCAATGGCTCTCGCTTCCTATGGAACTGATAGACAGCATAACTGAAAGCATCACACATCGCTCAGTATGTGCCGCCGTATTGGCATTCTACAGGCGACCCTATTCCCATACTGAAGTTACTTTCCCTATAGCAAACTGACATCTTCAATTTGTTCATTTTATACATGTGCTAATTTCTATACTACCATAATTGTCTGGTAATTTCTTTTTATGTTATTTGGTATCTTACTATGTGTTGTATATTGTGGGTAAGTTTCATAAAATTCTACATGTAGCTTTTTCAGTAATCATGATTTTGTGATTTTTCCTTAATTTATGATAACCAGTGTACTTCAGGTCTATACGTTAATCAAGATACAAATACAGGAACTCAGTACAATGGGTGAACATTAACACATTTTGTGCAGTCTATCTAACATATGCAACTAAGTTGCTTAGCAGTAATATGAATAACAGTAATATACGAATATACGTCCATACATTATATGAAACATTATTTTTTCCCTTACTTCACTTAAGTGGTGATTTTAAACAGGTACTAATATTTGCCCCGCTTTTAAACGGCAATCTGCGAAATGGGTACTAGTACCCGTCCCGCTTATAAGTGGCAATCTGCAAAATGGGTACAAATACCCGCTCATAATATGCTAAGAAAACTATCAGTAAAAAATAGCAAACCTAAAAAAGATACCTATGAACTCTTTGTGAACCAGTTGATCAAAGAAAATAGCATATCTTTGGATAAATACTTCACTTAGCATCCATCCATAATAACTGAAAAGGATAAGGCTGGGGCCAAAACCAGCCTCAAAGTTAGAGAAATGCCAGAAATCATCACCAAACCGTGACGCAATAACAATCCTTCCCTTCAAACTTCCATACATCTGGACACTGATTTTGGGTAGGAACCCTACAGAAAACCTTAAAAGACAACAAATTTGATCAAACCATATATTTTAGCTCCAGGTGATGAAGCACACATGTCATCTGCGAAAGCCACTGCTTTTATTTATGTGCCGCCCAGATATTACAATGGTTAGGGGAGCCTACTCTGGTACCGAAGGGCTCAAATTTGAATCCTGGAAAAGACAAGACATAGTTGTAACTGCTCGTCTCTTCATAGGAGGCAATGGTGATTGCTTATTAGGTGCCTCTACAGTAAAATGACCACCACTTATTACCCTCAGGAGTGGCCAATGATGAATAGGCAAGTGGCTGCATTATATATATATATATATATATTTTTAAGAGCTTTTATTTACATTTAAATGTAGTTTCGGCATGTCAACCCAGAGTACTTGATCTCATTTTTAACACTTTTAACTGTACAGTAATTGTTAAAAACACTCTTATAAAAAGATATATTGTATATTAATGTATTAAAAGCCTGAATAACAAGTTTTAAAATTCTGCTTTTTCCAATATTAGATGAAGCAACCAAAAGCACCTACTCTGCTTTTCTCATAGATGAAAAAGTCTATATGAAAACATGCAGAAATGCAAACTTGGAAAAAGAGCATAAAGAAACAGTGGTATATGCTGTGATGCCTGGAGACATACTACTTCTGTGCTATTAACAGCAAGGTCTGAAATATTATGATACAGCACTAAATATCCTCCATACAACCCATACTCAACACCATGTGATTTTGGAGCAATTCTCAACAAGATGACTACATAGAAAGATACCTTCTTCGAACAAGAAAGTAAAAAACAGTCATAATACTAAAAAAAAAATCACAAAAAGCCTAATTCATGTTTTCCAATTGTTCATAAATGCTGTAAAAAATATAACCCAATGTGAACTTAATTCCAAAAAGAATATAGGGTCCATAAATCACCTAATTCTGACAAAAAAAAAAAAAAAAAAAAAAAAAAAAAAAAAATTCTTAAAACTTTTTAATCAAGTTACATAAATTAAGTTTTAATAACAGAAGAAACTGCAATATTTAAGAACATACTTTCTAATAATTTTGAAATTCAGACAAAAACTACAACAATTAAAAAAAAAAACACTTTACCTCCAGTCGTTGTATGCAACATATTATCAGATGTATCTATATGTTGATTATATCCATCAGAACTGTCTACTATGTTCTGAAAGTAAATATCACCTTTTATTATAATCTAAGAAAATTAAAATTTGACATATTTCTTCAGAAAATTTCAGAACTGTAAGAACACATTTTATATAATTATGCATATTTCAAATAATCTAAAAGATAACTTATTTTAACTAGCTATATTTACTTACTAGTCAATTTCATCATAGTAGTTATTTATTTACTATGTCAAGTTCAGAGAAAAGAGCAATAGAATAAAAACTTATTTATAGGTACAAGATATTAAACAAGGATCAAGTCTGTTAATATTTTCACTGCTGGAACCATAATATTGTATAAAATGCATACCCACAGTATAAATTAATGGATTTTATAACACACACATATAATTTTTTGTTCTTGTTAAAAATAAATATCAACTTTAAATACTCACACTTAGCAAACATTAAAGTCATATCCTAGGAACAAACAGAACTAATTCTATACTGTTTGTACCAAAAATTGATACTCAGAATGAAAAGATTAACATCACTTCAAATCAGTAACATACTTATATATTTACATGTACTCATAAATTCATACTTTCAATTTTTAAAAAAGACATACCTCATCATTTTGATGTAATTTAGAACCTACAGTTGAATCAACTGCACAATGCATTCCATGATCTAACTGGTGAGAATGAACAAGATCCACACTAGATGAGACAAAATTTTGAACAGAGTGATGTGAAGATGCATGGCTTACAACATTTTCAAATTCAACGTTTCCCTAGAGAAATAAAAGTATTTAAAGTAATAAACACTGACTCCTTTTAAAACCATTTTTGATACATGTATTTAACATTGGATCAAGTCAAAATACTTTCAAGTTCCTATACTTTGGTTCTTTCATGTTAAACACATATCACCAGACACCTTTTTTATTTTCACATATTTCTCAGCATCACATATCACCAGTTTAGTTTGGCTTATTTTCTGGCAACAATTGTCTTCAAAACAATCGTTCATGCAATCATGTTTTTCATATAATCTAGTTGTTGCCCTTCTCCTCTGTAAATATATTTCACTATGGGATATGGAATACTTCAAAGTAAATCATTCTTATCTTTTTGTTTGAACATTAGGTGTCCCACCGAAACTGAGTGGTAATGTGAAACGGTATAATAAAAGTCAAACGTGTAGTGCCTTCCAACACATAGACTCTTATTTAACCTTTAACTGCTGTGACAATTTTTTCGGCATAATTACTGTGAGTGGTCTCACAGACCGCTTTAAAGAAACACGTAAAAATACATACTTTTATGCCTTTTTAAGGAATGTTATACATGCTTTATGCATATTTATAGAATTCTAATTCATTTAAATCAATATATTTTAAACATAAATCATTTAATTTTATGCAGTTAAATTCATATAAAAAAATGACTATTTTCTTCATTTTAAGGAACAAAGTTTTTGAAGAACAAAGATTTTGCATAGAAATATGTAACTTATTAAGTATTACTGTCAATTAAACCATTAATCAACAGTGAAATTAATAGTAATATGTTAGTATCTTTTGTAAGATGAATCTGTTTAAGATACACAGTAAACACATTGATTTTAGGCATGATCATAGATGTTTCTATAACGTTAACCTTTGTTGTACAAGTTCCTTACATTCCATTACATTCTGTTTTCTTTTCTTACAATTTTTGTTTAGATTTGATAATCCATCTTTATTCCTTCGGTCCAAGGATTCTTCTAATTATTATCTTTTTCCCTTGGCAAAAAGAGTTACAACTTTCAGATGTTTTTTGTAGTTGATTAAATCCTTCTAAAGCAGTTAAAGTGTTTCATTAGGTAATAAAAGCATTAAATGTTTTCTTTTCAGTTTTGTAGCATCAGGATATGACTGGAACAATATGTATAAACATAAATTCAAAGTATCTTCGGGCTCTGCTCTACAGCCTATTTTTACAGGATGTCTCAGACCAGGAAGCTCAATTATTATGTTATGCTTTGATGTTCATACGGCCCGACCTGGTTCTTTTTTGCTCCATCTGAAGTGCTTTTTTTCATAAAAATTACCATTTTGTTCACAGTCATTAGAAAAAGTATGATATTCATCTGAAAAAGCTCAGATTCGCTTTTTTTTCACTGCGAACATGATCACTGTCTACACGATTCTTCAGAATCAGAGTATATTATCGGGTTGGAGGGAAAGTTCTGTGGTATTTTAAATAGGCAGGTGATTTTTCTTGTAAATAAAAAAAAACATCTGGCTAGTGAGTCAATCGGATTTATTTTTTTAAAATGTTTTGTTATTTTTAGCTGCTGTATAATAATAAAAGGTGACTTCTTTTTTACCCGTTCATCATTTACTTGTAATATTTTAAAGGTGAAAAACATGTCGGTAAATAAAGTTGCATTTACGACACTGCATTTTATATGAATTCCAAAAAGGAAGCAACGCATCTGTTGCATGTAAAAATTTATGTGCGGTATTTGGAAAAGATATTGTAAATGTTCGTACTTGTCAAAGATGGTTTAGCAAATTTCGTTTTGGGGACCTGAGCCTCAAAGAAGTGTTCGATCTGGACGACCATCCAAGATCGATAATGATGTTTTTGCGATCCATGTTGGAAAATAATCCACATTTAACAAGTCGAGAAATGGCAGAAGAGTTTGGCATTCATCATACAACGTTGGAGATCACATTAAATCTCTTGGGTTTGTGTTAAAGCAAAGTGTTTGGGTTCCACATGAATTAACAAAAAAGAATTTGTCTGATCGTGTGTAAGAATATGTTCATCACATCTGATTAGACACAATGTGGAGCCGTTTTGGACAGGCTGGTTACTGGAGATGAAAAGTGGATTCTTTACGAGGAGAATATTAAAAGAAAAAAATCTTACTGCAAACCAGGAACATCATCAGCAACAGTTCCAAAACCAAGTATCCATCGACGAAAAGTACTGCTTTGTTTGTGGTGGGACAGGAAAGGTCCAGTGTATTACGAGTTGCTGAAACAGGGAAAAACCATTAACGCGGATCTGTACTGCAATCAGCTGGATAAATTGAATGCAGCATTAGCGTCCAGAAAAGGAATAGTGTTCCACCATGATAATGCTCGACCGCATACTGCAATGGTGACACAACAAAAACTGAATGCGTTAGGATGAAGTCCTTAGTCACCCACCGTATTCACCTGACATTGCACCATCTGATTATTACCTGTTCAGATCTCTGCAAAATTATCTAATGGGAAAAAATTCAAGTCTTTTGAAAGTGTTTTTCTAAGGACAGTTGCTGACTATTTTAACTCCAATGGATGAGAACTTCTACAAAACAGGAATTTACAGGTTACCTGGAAGATGGCAACAGGTTGTAACAAATAACGGAGCATATATAATTGATTAATATTAAACACATATTTTTATAAATGAATTCAAATATTTTCTTTAAAATACGACAGAACTTTCCCTCCAACCCAATATGTCAAAAATATTGTTGACAAGATATTCAATTTTTTTTCTAAGCGAGATATACGGGACGTTTTCTTGTAAAGTTTGAAGCCATATTTATCACTTTTAGGAAAAACAAGCATCCGGTAAATATCATCTATTGTCTACTAAAACTGGTACGCATCTACTGTGAGCAGTCTCCCAGACTACTTAAAAAGGGAAAAGCATGATAACTGAAACCAGAATAAAGCTAGAAGTGTGAAACTGGATATGTGACCTTGTGGGATGGGTTTGGGAAGGTAGAAGGAAGGACAGGGATCTTTCTCCATCTTCAGGGGTGAAAACGATGGTTAGAAAATCCTCAGCGGCCTCTCAAACCGTTCACAGCAGTTAAAGGTTAATTAAAACCATGTGTCATCGCATGCATTCTAAGGGAGAAAATTCTCTGCTACGCTAAATGCCATTTTTAATTTTATGCTTGATTAGACTTATGAGATTCTTCGTTTAGCAAAATGTTTATTAATTATTGTTATTTTTATTTTAGTTCTGCATATTTTTTTCAGTCATTTAAGGTTACAAAAATGAACAGATCAAAAAAAAAAAAGTTTAGTTAAAAGGAAAAACTTGAAAAAAATAAGATATAAAATTTGTGAAAACGCATCCGATTCAAACAAAATACAGTCAAAAGTCGTTAATCCGGACTCATCAGGACTTCGGTGATTCCGGATTATCGATTTTTCCGGATTATAGATCATCATTTTAAATCTGGTAATATGGCATGCAGAAATTTTTTGGGAAATTATCAAGGCTTTGTAAAAAATACAATTTGATGCTCCTGTTGCAAACAAACATTTTGAAGCTCTCCAAAAGTTACTGGACAATTTTGCTGTATTTCTGTGCTTGTGAATTTCCTAGAAAGTCTTTGAAAACTAACCATTCTTTTGAAATTCTATCATTGTTCCGATGAAATATTTATTTTTAAGGAGCTGCTCAATTTCTGGAACACCAAACACACCGACCTTTCATATGATAGGCTAGGGAATGCCAAAATGAGACGCCTGAAACAGTCTCCTTCAATTGTCAAAACTTTTAACAATTGCTTCATGAGACGCAGTTTTATATGCGGAGGTGAAAATATAATGTTCTTTCGGTCGACAAGTGGCTAATGGAGAATGTTTGGATTGGTGGTCAATTCGACTGCACCCAAATACTTCTCATGAGCTCTGCTGTCCTATATACACAAAAAACAGGGATATTTACCATATTTGTGTTGCTGATCAAGGAGGAAGCAGACCATTTTAAGCACAACATAAATGATCCATTAGTGTATGTGATACTGCTACAAACCAATGACTCTCTTTTATCTTCATATTCCTTACATAAACTGAATGGCTTACTGGAAGTGCACCAAATGAATTTCTATTCTGGAGGAAGACATATTTCAGGCTGTGCTTTGAGCCATAAATAGTCGCCAATGAGTGTTGTTATAAGCTGAAAATTCCCAACTTTGCCATCAAACCAAGTATGTTATGCCAATACACAAATTCATCATTACTTTGAAAGCATTGCAGAAATGCACTTTCTCTTGATTGAAAGCTGGAAACCTCAGCTCCTCTTTCAAGCAAGTTTTCTCATGCAGTCTTGATGCTAACAGCTCTGAATCTTTTTTGGATAGTCTCAAATCTCATGCCAAATCAATCAGAATGTAAATATCTTCATTTTCAAAATCTTCGTCATTAGGATCTAACACTATCGTCTAACTCCTTAGCAAGTTTTCGAGTGGTTGCATACTGAGCTTCTTCCACAAGTTCTCACAGACAGACCTCATCAACATTAGTAGGCTGACCAGAGAACTCTGCTTCTTGAATGTCATAGTCCTTGTTTTTGAACTTTCGGTTCCAAACCTTCACAGTGTCATATGATACGACATCAGTACCTGAAGCTGTACACGATTTGGTGACGTTCTATAGCTGACTTTTTGCAACACACCTGGATGTAAATGATGGTTCTTATCTGGTAGCATGATAGTTCTATTTCAAACACCTTGTACTTAATGATATTTTTTTTTTTTTTTTTTATAAATTTCACAAAGCAAGTCTCTTTCTTTCAAATGGCAAAAAGCATTTGACAAAATATGATTAAACACGCCAACATGAACTGTTTGCGCAAACAATCTTTGTGATGATTGGAAACTTTAATTAAAATCCGACAGAATACATAAAATGTTTTCTAAGCAAACAAGAAGCATATTACAATATTAAAAAAAAAAAAAAAAAAAAAAAAAAAAAAAAATCCAAATCTTTCAAATATTTTCAATGTAAAACCTGTGTATAAAAAAAGTAGCTTTCAGTATTTGATCTAGAAATGAGAAAGACATATATATGTTCATGTAATATGAAGGATGATGTGCACAGAAATTGGGAATGTATGCAATGTAAATCATATTCAATCCTTTAGACTACTTCAGTCATGGTAAGAATTGTATAAACAATTAGAACTGGAAATACGATACATTTCACATTCTCATTTAAAAGACATAGCAATTTAAAGCTTGCGAATCCTTCAAGATAATGCACAATCTAATGAGATAGTAAAACTGAGGGAAATGAAGAGCAGAGCATAACAGAATTTTGCATGCAAAACAACAATTTTTACTGAATAATTTTGAAACTAATAAGAGACGTTAGGCTCGTTTTTCATGATTCAGGAAAAACCGTGGTTTTTTTTTTTTTTTTCATGAAACAATTTCATGGTTATTACTTGTTATTTATTTTTGCAGCCAGTACTGCACAACTTTTCCAAACAAACCTCCAAAATCAATTTCTGATATTAGTCAAAAATTTCAAAAAATCAACATATACTAAGAATATGGGACTCATATTTAGTATTAAATATAGACATGCTCAATATATTAGTTTGACACTGCTAAAAGTAAAAAATATTTTAACTTAGATTTTGAACTGGAAAAGAAAATTTATCTTCAGTAGCTTGAGACAGGCTTACAGTACACAACAAAATGTACTGTCACCTGACTAAATCACCATCGTACAATATTTAATTTCTGGACAAAAATAACCATATGTAATGCTTTTTTACTTTGTGCCTGCAAGCTCCATATATTTTACTGTATACTAATATATTTTTACGTTCATTAAAATGCTTTCTTGTAATTTTAGTTCACAAATGCCTTAAATTGTTTATTTAAAATGTATAAGGAGATAAAATTATCTCCTGTTTGAAGGAAGGTTACATGGTCAATTCTCTGTATTTCAATCACTGAAAATCTACATGTACAACTACAAATTGCATTTATATTACAGAAAAGCTTAAATTTTAAGAGATATCCAAATTTTTCTTACATTCATAACATTTTCAGGACTATCCCTTGAGCTAGTCACCAAGGCTACAGTTCTGTCAATTGCATACACATCCAAAGGCAAACACTGGCTTACTGAAGTTGATGCTAGAGATGATGACTGGTCATCATAAACAGCAATAGCACTGGAATCAATCAATGAACTTGCACTTGAGGCAACAACATATGAAGATGAAGTCCTATCACTCATATTTTCAATAAGCTGCTGATCTCTAAGATCACCGATTAGAGTTGCAGATGTTGCTGGCCCAAGCATTTCAGCAGCATATTTCTGAGTAAGCATTTGTTTGTGGCTTATAGGGAAGGAATTTCCTACTACAGAACTAGTAGATGATGTTGAGGTAGAGGAACTGGCTATCATGGATGAAAGGATATCTTTCTGCGACAGTATTGGAGGTAACATATTAGGGGACATACTTGGAATAGATGCATCATTAGACAGAAACTGAGGCTGTTCAGCAGTTACAACTGCTCGCTGAGTAATACCTTGACTAGATAATAAAGTACGTGGAAGGTTTGAAACATCGAGAGTGAAGGATGAATCGCCTCGGGATGAAGCAATTAATGCAGCAATGCTGCTTCTATCAAGTATGATGGGAAGGCCTCCCAAATTAGGAAGCCCATGATGGACAACGGAGACTTGTTGTAAGTTTAAAGGGTCAATATTTAAAGAAACCCTTTCCAGTGCATCTTCAGCTTCTTGTACTTGAGAATGGTGAGAATCTACAGAATCTTCATGCAGAGACATGACATTCCCTGAAACTGTAGCAGATGTATCATTAGATGGAACTGCATCTGCTGGATGATGTGTATGCAGCATCTGAATGGGAAAGAAAAAAGGGAATTTTAATGTAAAAAAAATAATTACCGTTCAGAATGAATAAAAATCAAACTTTATTAACACTGAATGCACTTAAACAAATAGTATCTACAAAAACAAAATTATCAAAGGAAAAGATGAGTTACAACCATATTAAAAGTGTTATCCTTTTTTTTTTTTTTTTTTTTTTTAATTAAAAACAAAGGCTCTGTAAGTAAAAAGGGGGATTCACAGAATTAAATAAGTATCCCAATAAAAGCATTACAAACTAGAAAGATTAAAAAGAAAAAATATTAGATGGTATATTTTATTACAAATTTGCTAGACAGCAAATGTGTATTAAATACCAGTTAACTGTGTATCAAAGATTTTAAGTTCATGGTGCAAGGCAGGCATGCATGATTCCATGGCTTTTCTTCTACATGCTATAAATACAAATCATTTTATTGCTATTGATAAGTGTTTGATGCTTAAAGCCATAATATACTAACAGTTTGTCATAGTTTTTTCTTTCAAGCTGAATGGTTTGCCTCAGGCAGTTTTAATGGTTTTTTGAAAGCATAACAAATAAAATTACTACAGAAAAACTTCCTCCATTAAGGCAGATCTCTCCTTTAGCAGAAAGAACTCACATCTTTGCTTAAGTAACTAAACCCAATTCAGTCCTTTTCAAGACCACCAACAAAGGCTCTGTAAGATAAAGCATTGCAAAGGTTATTAACTCGATGAACAGCTTTTGTGTAATTGTCTTTGCACACAGCTTACCTCTGTGACTGAACGAATATTAAAAAAATTAATACAGATTCCAAGCTCTGGATTTATTCACCACATATTTCTATCATCTTACCTGCATTAACAGTTATTTTACAGGTTCACAAATCTGCCTTTGCTCCTCTCAAATATGTTACTTTTAAATAATAATTCAAATTATTTTTCTTACTAGTAAAAAGAAACCCTAAATCAAATACCTTTTATTAATAAATATGAAATATTTTGAATTGTTAAAATGATTTTATGGATGAAAATAGGCAGTAGCAAAAATAAGCCCAGTAAGTAACCCTTATTCAAGAAACTTTCATTAAATTTTTAAACAGCCCATCATTATCCACATAGCTGTAAAAGTGCTAGAAGCTGACCCTGAGTTTTATTCCCTCGGGTTCTATTTTTTGAAGTACCCCATATAAAATAAAATCATGTATAAAATGAAATACAATATTATTTTACCTGAGAAACAGGTATCTGCAGTGCTGCCCTTTTGCTCTCATTATCAGATACAAATGATTCCTGACCATGTGAAGCTTCAGGCTCAGCTGTCTCAAAATCATTTTGATTAGTTGTAGAAACACGACTTACGGAGGAATATGATGGCAAAGTAACCTAAACAAAAAATTACTTGAAAGTGAATTATAAATATCTAGATTTTTCTGCATATTTAAGATGAGTAAAAGAAAAGAGAATGGATAGTTCAGTGAACTATTAAAAATATGATTTTTCAGACTCATTTATACACTTTCTGGAAAAAATTAGTTGTTATGAAGTAGAAAAGCTAGTATTATTTCAGTCTTAAATAAATATACTATGTTTTTAACAAATTCAGCTAATAATACATAAAAATCTCACAGATGACCCTAGTCTACAACATGGTCAGTGGGGGAAATTACCAGGCCAATGGATACGAGTCCAAATCCTGAATTATCACTTAAGACTATGAAGTACAAATATGCTAAATGGCACAGCAGAATTTGAAAGATTTTAAACTTCTCAGATAACAACAGTGAAAAGTGGATAATACAAATATGATAGGTGGCACAGCAGAATTTGACAGATTTTTACACTGTTTCTCAGATAACAACAGTGAAAGGTGGATGGTTTTGGCAATTGTTGGCAACATCTACAAATTACTGAAAACAAATTTCCACATTCAGAGTTGAAATAAGCTATAATATTCCATTGATTATTGTTTTTATAACACTTGCTAAAAAAAATCATGGCTAAAGTTACAAAACTTGTATTTATAGTCGAAGATTTACAAATTACGATCACATTTCTGGAGATGTGCCTAGTTATGGTTGAGTTATAATAGCATGCTGGGACAATCTAACACTTGCATCCAGCGCTAATCCTTCATTTTTCTAACATTTAAATTTCTGCCCCTCTTTTGCATTCATTAGCAGGAAACTAGCATACAGCAGTAACCTACTTTGGCAGGGTTTAGTTAGTCTAATATTAAAGAATTTTTCCCGAGTTTTGTCTCTTTTTAACTTTGCTAGGAGCCGGTACAGAGTGCATAGCCCATCTTCACCTCTGGTGGGGTTTGTACTTTTTTTAGAGAAGGGGGGCTGTAGTGGGATTGTGTGGCTGACATGGCTGCTGGATAATGATAATCAAGCTAGATTTTTGCAAACATAATTTTGGTAATCTTCCATTCACAGTGTAGTAATCAGATTGTGCATAAGCTTGCCAAACATAGCAGTCTTATATTGCAAACAATTAAAAAAATGGAATATGTTTGATTCATAATTATTTTTCATGTGAGACTTCTGACAAAGTAATTAATGTGAATTTTACAGTTTGGCAATTGTTGAATGATGAAGAAACCATCACTAGACTCTTTCAGGAAAAAGAATATTCCACAGTAAAAGTGTTTAAATAATCACAATTATTTTTCATACTGGAATGCACTCTGAATGCACAGTTAAAGTTGCCATTACTAGTTCAGACTACATATTGTGCCAACATTAACAATGAAAATGACTACTACACTTTTATTGGAAAAGTACTAAAATCTCCAAGTTTTATTAACAACTAAGAACTAAAAATAGTACCCTTTAGTCATATCAGAATGGCAAGTATTAAATAAAAGCATAAACACAATTTTCTTACACGTAATAATGAAAAAATGTGTTAAGATCAACAAAACTGTGTAAATGATCAAGAAATAATTACTGTTATTTGAGGGAGTTTTTAATTAAAACATCCAAAACTTTTACACAAACTGTAAATAGACAAAAAATGTAAAAAAATAATTTTTATATTCCTTTTATCTTTACTTGAATCTAATTATAATATCTTTAATGTAAATTTCGCTATAAAAACGTTAAAAGAATTAATTGCATTGTATGTGCTTTTTTTAAATTTGTTTTTATTTATTCTTTTTTTTTAGTCTAAATCTAATGATTTTTCATTTATGATCTGAAGTTCTCAAAATTACAAAATCCATATTTCCTCTCTTCCCAAGTTATGCACATTTTTGGTTTTTTATTACATAATTAAGAATGAACAACAAAAATTCACTAAAAGTAAAATGAAAATTTTTATTAAATTAAAATACACACAAACTTACAAAAAATTTCACATGATTACAAACAAGCACAAAGAAATCACACCAAAATCTTTAAAAACATTACCTGTGCATAAGTACCCGAAGAACTGCAGGGATCGATGGTGAATTGCCCATAACTGACACCAGGAGGTAAAGCTTCAGACTTAAAATGATTCACAAAATTTTCCCCTTGAAATCCAATACCATTATCATCACTGACATAATTCACCTTAAACAACAAAAAAAAAAAAAAAAAAAAAAAAAAAAAATCATCTATGAGTACAGAAGCTAATTCCCTTAATTTTTGCATAAAATCTATGCTAAACAGATCTCAGAAAGATTGAAGGCAAGAGCTTTTAAAACTGTTTCTTAAAAACAATCAATTTCAGAGAAAAAATGTCACTCAAATATTGCAAGTTCTTTCTTCTGATTATTCAGATACTTTACTTTTTAAATGTTTTAACAAAAGGAATAATTCCAGAACTTTAATCTGGTTTGAAGTTCCAAGACAAAATTTAAAAAAATACATTTGACCAAATTTCTCACTACAAATTTTTAGATCTGATACCTTCAATTTTACCATTACTACTACACAGTTACAACTATACTATTACTAATAATACTGTGGAGGTATTTGCAAGTTATAAATAAAATAAATGAAATTTAAAAAATTTAATCACAGTAAAACAACTATACGCTTAAATATGACTTTAATATCATTAAATATAAAACTTTTAAAATACAGAACAAATGCTAACAAATATTTACCTTAATTTATAAAAAATATGACCACTTACCCCTATTTACAGGTCACCACGAAATGAGCTGCTGTATTGCCAAGTATACTATAAGTTTTTATGCTCATTAGGTGGAAGCCACAGTTATTTAAAAATTCATTGTGCTTTACAAATTTTGCAGAAGTTAGAATATCAATGACTTTTGTGTTTTTAGAATATTTACAGAACATATTTTTAAAAAATTTATATAAGAATGCAGAGACTTGTTATAACAATCTGTAAATATAACTAGATACTGTATTGAAATAGTTTTGAAAGTGCTGATATAATTTAAACATACAATTTCTGAATTACATTTGGAGCTGAGAGAAGATTATACTGATTTGAGGAAGTCCTAGTATAAGATTGTCAATAAGAGTTTGTTGCTTCCATTGAAGTATTTTACTCTTTAAAAATTGCTGAAACCATCCTCGGATATTTTCTGTTGTGAATGGTTGCTGAAAGTACAACTCTTATGTTATGATACTTTGAACAAGAAGTGATCTAATATCTCACAGTATCTTTTAACTACTCAAATCTCACAGTAGTTATCTTTTAACTACTCAAACGTTCAAGAGAACTTAATTTAAAACAGCTAGAGAAAGCTAATCCGCGAATTCGCTACAGTCAACAAGAGCAGTTTTCTAAACAACAACAAACTAAGTAACTACTATGAACTGAGAGGTTTTCCTCCTTTTATAAGATTTCAAAATCGTGCGAGAGAATTTTCTAGTACTTTCTCGAAATCAAAGAGAGATATTTATTAAATGTTACATGCACGCGCTCTTGTATTTTCAATTTTCGGTAGCTTTCTATTTTTCGCTTTTTATTCGTCACGCACTGCACTGGAAATAAAACCCAATTTACATAAGCAAATCCGTAACACTGCCCCCTTCCCAAGGACTGCACGTCCCGGGCAGTACAATCCCTGGACAGGAAGCCAAACTTACAACTGTGGCATAAATGCAATAATAAGCATTACATTACAATAATAAACAACATGAACAATAAATGCAATAAGTAAAACAAATCAAATGCTATCAAATACAAAATACAAATCAAATACTAAATACACATTTAGAAACAAAAAGGACCATGGTCTTACACTATTTACAATTATTTACATTACGTACTATGGCCATAGTAATGAGCTAACCTGTCGCAATGAACGATTTTATGTTTAGAGTTCCGACGGATCTGAACCACGACGTCATTCAGCCTGTTTAGGATTGTGTGGTGACATTCCCAAGGTGACTGTAATTTAGGCCTGACTCCTTTTCATCGAATCGGGTTCCACAACCACACCTTGTCTCCTTTGTTGGATCTACTATGTCCAGTAGCTCTCGTGTTGTATCTGGACTTCACTTTCTCCGTCGCCAAGTTCACTCGCTTTCGCGCAGAACGGTGCATCACTTCAAAACGGGCCTTGACATCTTGGATGTGTTCCTCAGGCAATGAAGGCGCATCCGTATGGCTATTAAACAGGCGGTCACAAGGCAGACGAAGGTCTCGACCGAAGAGCATCTGGGATGGAGAATAGCTGGTAGTCTTGCATTTCTTTTCGCCCCTAGTATGATTTCGGCAGCTTCCTGAGCTGGGACTTTCGGACAAGGTGTCGACATTTCCAGGCGAAGATCCCTTTTAAGGATGAATAGTCATGTCTTCAGATGCTGAAAGCAATTTGTTGTTTTTGAAGTCAAAGAAGAAATTGTATTTCCTTAAAAAGTCCAATCCGAGTATGCATGGATCTGTAATATCCGCCACATAAACTGTATGATGGTAAGCAGCACTTCCAAACGTAATGCTCAAGTTTAACTTCCCAGCTATGTCGATCTTACCACCAGACGCAGTCTGAAGAGTAACACAGGATGGCAATCTTATCACCAGACGCAGTCTGAAGAGTAACACAGGATGGCAATCTTATCACCAGACGCAGTCTGAAGAGTAACACAGGATGGCGTCCAAATAAATTTATCTTTAAACTGTTCAGCTAAATCTTTCCTAATGATGGTAACATTAGCTCCTGTGTCAATGATCATATTGCAAGGAATTCCATCGATATGCCCATTGATGGACAGTCCGTTACTGTTGCCACTCACTCTACAAATCTTGAGTGCTTTAAAACAAGGTTTTTCATTATCTGGCAACCTCCGTTCCTTGATATGGTCATTAATTTGTTTCATGCATCGTTGCTGAGAAATGGTCTCAATTTCCATGCTCCGGGGTGGTTCTGCAGTTCCTTCGCACATGGCCTTCAGCTCCACAGTTCCAGCACTTTTGTTTCTTGTCACTCCTTTTTCGTCCGATGGCATTTAATTGTCTGTTCAACTCGTTTGTCATATTTTCTGTGCTTTGGGGTGTTCTCCAGTTCCTTCAAGCGTGGCCTTCAACACCGGAGTTCCAGCACTTCAGAACTGGTTTCTTTGCACTTCTGTTCCGTCTGAAGCCACTGACAAGTCTCGTAAAATCATCTGTTTTATTTTCCGTACCTCCGGGTTTTCTTCAGAACCACATCTTCAATACCTTAGAGCCAATTTGTTCTCACTCCTACTCCGTATCAAAGCATTGACTTCTCTAGCTAAATCATCTAAACAAGCCATCAGTTGATCCACTGGCTCATGGACTCGCACAGCTCTAACTGGGTAGCGATCTCTACTAGTTGCTTGCTGGGCTGCCTCGAACTTCATGGCGTACAACAGAGCGCTTTTTATGTCCTTCACATCCGCCATTCATAGAGCTTTCTGTATTTCAGGATCCCGGATGCCGTCGATGAAGGTATTGAAGGACAGGATTTCCCTTGTTTCTGTCGGGCACTCCGAAAAGGCGAGATGGGACAGCCTTTCAACATCCGTGGCGAGCTCCTGGAGTGTTTCGGTGGGCTTCTGTTGACGGGATTTTAATTGAAGCCTGTAGTCTTTTAAACATTTCTCGCCAAAGCGCAGCTCCAATGCGCCGGATAGAGCTTCGAAAGTCAAGTCTTTGGTTTTCTGAAAGCGTCTGCAAGATATCCGCTGCGTCTGCTCTCAGAGAAGCGGCAAGATGACAGGCCTTAGTTTGGGAATTCCATCCATTCGCATCTGCAAGGATAGATAATTGTGTCCCAGAGGTCTTCCCATCATATGTAGATAGTTTCAGAGAGGGACGAGTAGGCATCGATAAAAATTTAAAACTATCCGAATTGCTCCCTGCTGTCGCTATAGCCTCAAATTTGTTTTCTATTATACAAGTAATATCATTTTTTATTTCCTCTTGCCCTATTTTCACTTCCTCTTTAACAGCTTTCATCTCTGCCTTAAAAGATTCCTGAACAACATTCATCTTTTCTTTAACAATTTCACGTCCCAATTTCATTTCTTCCTTAACGGATTCCTGGCCCAATTTCATTTCTTCCTTAACGGATTCTTGGCCCAATTTCAACTCTGCTTGGAATGCAGCAAATGCAGTCATCAACTGCCTCATCTGTTCTTCCATCGCTCTTGTAATTGGCATTCAAATCCCACTTCTGACACCAAAAATTGTTGCGTGCGTACGGGTTCGTTATGAAATGAATGCACAAGTCCGATGAAAAATCAACAAAAATTTATTATTATCACAAAAAAAATGCTTAAATTTTCTCAAATATCATGCAGTATTACAATATCTCACAGTAGTTATCTTTTAACTACTCAAATGTCCAATAGAACGTAATTCAAAACAGCTAAAGAACGCTAATCCGCGAATTCGCTACAATCAACAAGAGCAGTTTTCTAAACAACAACAAACTAAGCAACTACTACAAACTGAGATGTTTTCCTCCTTTTATAAGATTTTAAAATCACGCGCTAGAATTTTCCAGTACTTTCTCGAAATCAAAAAGAGATATATTTATTATTTAATGCACGCGCTCTTGTATTTTCAATTTTCCGGCTTAGCTTTCTTATAGTATTTGTCACGCGCTGCACTGCGCGGAAAATAAAACCATTTAATTTACAATTCAAGTAACATAAGCTATTTAAATACCAAATCTGTAACAATATCAACAGATGACAGATGAGATTTACATATTTAACAGACATAAAAGGAAGACGACTACAAAACACTACCATATTCTCACATGTAGAAGGGACATTCTTTTTCCAGAATAAAGCAGATGAAAATCAGAGGCAGGACTTATACATGTGAAAGATTAGAAATAAGTACATACAAATATGTAGCAACATAGCAGCATGTATTTAACCACTTCTATTTCCTCAAAGAGAGACTCATCTATTTAAAAAGTATTCTTAGGTGCCTGCAATTAGATACACTTGTCAGGGTTAAATGTCACTTGGATCATTAGACCCCTCCCTAAAGAGACTTGTTTGCTTCATGTTTTCCACTTCTCAGAACACAGTGAAAATGAAAAGAGGAATTTTATGGCATAATTGGTCACACTCTCTCCAGACAGAGATTCTACCAGTATCACACAAAACAAAGTTCATTCACAAAAACAGGAAATAGGAACGCACTTCCACCCATTTCAGATTGCATTGCAATGGGAACTACTGCTCATCTGAAAGCATGCCGTTAGGGGATCATCTCTGTTAATTTTCAAATGAAAAGACTAAAAAACACAAAAGAATTTCTTCTCCTGGGTATGGTGATGGACGTCCTTCAACACTGAGTATGACAAAAAAAGCAGTTCAAGTTGACTTGGTGTGAATATCTAAATAGGTCTTTGCAGTTAATCTAAACAGGTCTTCACAGTTCAGGGGGAGGCACATTTCTTAAGGCTTATTCTCAGTTAATTCTCAGTTTCACACGCAAAAAGCTTATACTTGAAGTGGGGAAAGAAGCAAATATTTAAGTTTTGTAAGACGGTGAAGAAGTTAACTAGAGTACAAAATCTATTATTGTTGGGTGAATGTTACACAGAATTGTACTAGTTGTGTTTGCAAATATTTCAAAGAAAATGTCAGGCAAACAATTTAATATATGAAGCAAATTTTAAAGTGCAAGTCATCTAATTATCTGAGGGAAAAAGGGAACTGAGCAACAACATGTCACTGTAATTGTTGATATGGTACACTTCTTAAGCTCATGAAGGTGGTTGAATGAAGATAAGCCGTCAATTTCAAGCAAGTGCAGAATTTCATTTTATGCATAAGAATGGTCTGCCACTATGTCACAGCAGTGTTGCTAGTAATTTTTCAACTAAAGTAACAGAACAACAATCTAAAAGTCGCAAAAAAGTAGTATATGACGCCAGGTATCGCATAACTTTGGTGACATCGTAGTTATATATGTTCATATGACCTCTCATATCATCACTAATTCAATCTCCATTGTTTTCATAAGATACCTACCAACTGTAATTCTGTTCTTGATCATTTTAATTACATACCTTATTTTTGACAAAAATTTTAAAACTATAGTATTAATTATACATTGTTCAAACATTCTTTTTTTACTTTTAATTAATTCACAGTTAATTTAGATTTTTAATTTAAAATTGATTTGTTAATCATTGTTAAGTGCTTCTCAAGTTTGGGTTGTTTTTTTTTAGCATTTTGTGCTTTTTTTTTTTTTTTTTTTTTTTTTTTGAGTTAGCGGTTTCTTTTTCTAATTCATTATTTTTTGCTTTAATTGTTAATACTTTTTAATGAATTTTGCGTTCTGCTCGATTGACATATTTAATTTAATTAGATTTTAATTATCTCAACATCGATTTAAGCCTAATTTATTTATTTATTTTATAAACTAATTTTGGTTGATATACTATTTTAACACATAAGCATTTAATGATATATTAAAAATTTTTAAAGTTTCCAAAAGTAGCACAAGGAAATGATAGAGTAACAAAATTTTTGCAAAATCGCATATACATAAATTTTAGTGGCAATAATTCGTCAAAAGTAGCAAATTTGGAAAAAAATCGCACAATCTGGCAACATTGCATCACAGGACAACAGCTGCACAACGTCTCATGGCAGACTTTGACAAGGAAATTTTGAAATTTCAGAAATAAATTATTCGCAAGCAACAAGCTAATGTGTGTATACATCGTCAGAAATCAGTAACACAGGTCAAACGCCCATTTACTGGGACATGTTTATGCTTAAACAATTGCACCAAGAAGCTCACATGGAGTAAGAATCAAGACTGCAGGTGATGAAAGCAGCAATATACAGTTATGATACTTTTTCTGCCAGATGGAAGAAAACTGCCACCAAGCATTATGTTAAGGAAAAAAACTGTATACAAAGCACACACAAGGCTGCGTAAAATACCTGCCAGGCTTTTGGAAGTGTGGAATATCCAATGATTTTTGGTATTCAAACGTTATACCAAATCAACACCACAAATGTGAAAATGACTCCAAGAAGCAGTTATACGACCCCAATCACAGCATCACTACTTCGTTATATTCATTAATTCCGATTTTTGCGACCCTGTTTGGGGGTTGTGACCTACAGTTTGAATAACCCTTCTCTAGATGATCCTGAGGATGACATGCTGTGGAATATCAGTACCAGCAGCAGTAATACAAGTGGTGCAGGCAACTACTCTAGTGGCAGTGACAGTAAGTAAGAAGTGCTTAATACAGAAACATGTTTCTTCTGCTGATAGCAAAACTTTTTTCTCAGTGTGTGGCTCACTGCTTTCATTTTAGCTCCTTTCACACCTCCAGAACAAACTATATATAAAGATGGTACACGAGTTATCTGTGGCTTAACCTTGAGAACTTTTCTTTTTAAATTAGAAGCAAAAATTAAGCTTATATGCTGCTGAAAATATTGTATTCAAAGGAATATCACACGCTAACAGAAAAGAAAACCAAACAGAAATTTCAACATCATCACTGTATCATATTTTGACAGAAACTTTGTAGAAAAGAGAAGTTTGTGCTCGATATATTGCTCACTGGTAGTTGTAACTTTATTGAAATGAAAATTTAATGATGAAGGTGAAAGATTTCTATATCCAATAATCACTATTTATCCAATGGTCACTATTGATGAAACATGAACTACATATGTTGAATCACAGCTGAAATTGATGTCAACCCAATGAAGAAGTCCATTCTTTTGGCAATCCCAAAAATGTTGACATGCACAATGAATAATTGAAATAAATTATGTTTTCTGACTAAAATTAATAAGGAATTATCATGAAAGACTGCTTTATAATATTTATACAAGAAGACTGAGAAAGATCTAATGAAATTTCAGAAATTTTATCTCATACTCCAAAAAGACTAGAAATGAATCCATTACACTTCATATTCTTTCCAAAACTGAAAATGCCTAGTGTGGAAACTGTTTTTCCTTCCTCAAAGAGGTTTCTTCAACACTTACTTAAGCTATTAGAATGCTGAAAAAAGCTAGTACCCTACAAAGTATAGCAAATCTTCAGAAATATTTGATTCCAACTACTAAAAGCAAGGGAACTGCTTAGAAGGATTGGATTACTTAGATTAATGCAAAACATTCAAAGTTTATTCGTCTACCAGAAGAGATGTCTCCATGCAAGACTTTCGAAGGGAAACTGGCTTGCATTTATGTTACACACAGGAAAACAAACATTCTAATGTAGCCGGCCCACTGCCAGGATTTGAAAAGCAGGGTCGAACTACCATTGATCACTGGTTTTACTCCTCGGCCGCTGATGGATGCAAACTCAGGACTGTAAGGAAAAATTGCCTGAAATAAAAAATAAACATAGAAAAAAATAGAGTGCATTATTTTTTGTTTGTTTATATCACCTTTGTCTTTGTCTTTAGGACTACAGAAATGCCTATTATCTGCTCTAAGAATATCATGATAATAGTAATAATTGGCAGAAACAAAATTATTTGCCATTTTCTTTTATTATTCTAGCACTTGGTGCATCACGGACAGTTTGAAATTGATTAAATTATTACAAACATTATTTTAATTTAAGAATTTAAATTACTGACTAAAAGAAAATCTTTAATTTTTTTTTTTTTTTTTCATTACACAATTGTATTTCAAATAAAAACCCATACTTTATTGCAAGTGCATAATATTTAAGGGACGTAAAGCCACACTGTGCTCATTTAGTGCATACATCATATGCACTAAATGAGAAGCATACAAAAATTTCCCAATTCCCAAACATATTACAAATCTTCAATACAAGTTTTAATTATTTTATGTAGTCAATCATAAAATAATTAAAACTCAATGTGATCACTCATAATTTTATGCACTATTAAAGTATACACTTTTCTATCCCACATTCTGAGTATGTGCATAAAAAACTGCTTAATGCATTTCCTTCATCATACTGAATAAAGAAAATAGGCTAAAATAATTTTAATTAGCATTATAATTATTTTGATTTGAAAATAAATATTACTCTTACGTCACAAAAAGACCGCACTTCTCTAGAGAGTATTTCCTCAGTAACATGGTGTGTGGTTTCTGATGATGAAGATGGCTCAGGAGAGTTGGATGCCATCTAAACCAAATCCAAGTATTGACACCATATGCTGAAAAAAGGGAAAACATAAAAAATCATACATATGCTTTTCAGCGGAAGAAAAAACTTAAATTTTACCTTATTTTTACATTTGCATGCCTGTACTAAAAAAAGGGGGAGGATTATATCCAACAGGCATACTTGGAGGGAAATGTAGTTCTATAGCATGAATATATGTCCTATTAAAATCCCCAAAGAATACAATTTTACAGCTAATAAAAAGCCATTCCCTTTTTGTGGAGAACATTCTTGTTATGAGAAAATATTTAATTTGGATAGCAGCACTGAAAATATCACAAACCTGAATTCCCACAGACAGAAACTTCTGCTTTATGCTCTAAAATTTTAAAAAATGTTTTTAAAGAAACTGACTGTAAAACTTGAAAAAAAAAAACTATAATGCCTTCACAAAATTAAATGAAGCACTGTATAAATAACAGGTCCAGAGTCGTAGCTAGGGTTTTCAGCGCCCAGGGACAACTGAAGATTTCGTGCCCTCTACTGCTTGCCAAGGATGGAAAACGTTTAATTCTAAAATGTCGTAATATCAGTTTGGCGCCTCTTCGATTCTGCGCCTGGGGACAGATGCCCCCCCTTGGCCCCCTCTAGCTACGCCCCTGAACAGGTCAAATCAAAGCTCACATTAAAATTCTTCAAAGTATGAGACTATGCAGAGTGGAAGCAAATTTAATGGCCAAGTATGAATACAGAAATAAAAACAAGTTAGATAATTTTCCATTAAAGCCTACCTTGGCACTTTTTTTGTTTTGGCCGAATTGGCTTGTTTTCTGTTGATAACTTTCTTTATACAAAACGCTCGTGCAATGTTTTTTATACAATACTTGGACTGCAGATTTGTGACCTCCCATGAGAATAATAAGTGGTCATCTTGTTTCTTGGAGAGAAATACGCTATAAAGAGATGTTATCTACAGGTAAGCTGTGTTTGGATAATGATCTCAAGAAATCATAAGACTCGAAGCTAAAATGGCTATGCAGCCTTTACTCATGACAGGAAGAAAAAAGTGTCTGAACACAAAACTAGTTGTTTGTTGAACCATACATTCCTTTCATTATAGGCATACAATTTGCTTGATTATTGTGTTAATGTTTATTCTGAGAACCAAAGTTTGCTACTTACGGATCACAACATACACACTGATAGGAATAATTACATAAGAAAGGTTATGTGCCAACTCCTTGATATCTCACCCTAACATTAAATTCCATGGATGCAACAAAATTGTGGAAACTGTTTAGAACTTATTCACAAAAATAAAAATAAAGATATATATTATGTTCTTTCATCACAAAATTTGTTTTAAGATTTTGTTGCGAAATTAGAGATTGTATTTTGTTATTTCTAATATCCCATTTTATCTAATATCGAACCAAAGGCATGAAGAAAGAAATACAGTCAAAAGTCGTTAATTCGGACACCCATAATCCGGAATGATCTATAATCCGGACCTCAGAGCTACAAACTTTCTGCGCATGCGTCGCATTGACGCATGCGCGCAAGACCTTCACCGCTGCAAATTTGCACGTGCGCAAAATACGTTTACGAATGCGCGTTTTATGTATAACGGACGGGATCAGCTAAGCTAAAATTAATCTATTATCTATTTCAGTTAATGTTGCAGATTGCGTTGTTCCTTAATCTTTGAATTGGGATCCGGATTATATTTTTTGCAGACTGTTAGAGCAATTTTTAAAAAGTAAGCTTGAACTTTCGATTATGTCAAATAGACTTTCCGATATATATTTACTAATATGTAAAGGATATACAAGCGAAAGTACCTTTCGGATCCATTAAAAAAAAGTGAAATTGCTGCAAAAATGGAAAGGCATATCCTTTGTTTATCTAAACTTTAACGTTTGTTTATCTTTAACGCTGCGGTGGCGTGCAATGAATTGGAAGTTTATCTATCAGCACTATCCTTGTCTTAAGGGCAGATGTTTTTATTTTATTTGGCTTATAATTGCTTACTCAATGTAGTATTTCATCTCGATGTACTCCGTCTTTGATATGATTTAAATCAAATGCCTCGTCATTATAATTCGTTTCTCCGATAGCGAAGAAAGTGACAGAGGTTACTGAAAACGAAAAAATTTCGATTGACAAATTAGTCGGTATTCTCGACACAGCAATTATAAACAGCAGAACTTTGTAACTGAACAAGAAATTATGTCTGTTTATAGAATTAAAGAGAATGTATTATCACATAAAAACAAGCAACTTTAGTGGTCATTTGTTTCATTGAAAGAATGTTAATAAGTAAACAAATAAATATTAAGCTTTTTTTTTTTTTTTTGTAAATTTTGATACCTTTAGATCTAATTGTTCTTTATTCGTAAATTACGGTTTCATATTTTTAATTTTTAATTTCTGCATGCCATTTTACCAGATTTAAACTGATGATCTATAATCCGAAAAATCGATACTCCGGAATCGCCGAAGTCCGACGAGTCCAGATTAACAACTTTTGACTGTATATGTAAATATATACACATGCATTACAGCTTACTTTTTCTAACATATAAAAGAAGTAATAGTATATGCTGCAGGGGAAAAAAATTTATGCCATAGCAGATTATTTATATTAATTAGCATTTATTATGAAATGAAAAACCTGGCATTAGTGAATTTCTAAGAAACAGTATAGCTTCAGCAGGATCTTCTTTGATAAAGGACCGTAGGTCTAATTTGATAAACTTCAAAGCTGACAATAGTCTTTCAACACTAACTTGAGTAGGAGGAAGAGCTATTACCGTTAGGCCTACTTCTTTTAACTTTTCAGGATAGATTTTGTATATATTCTAAAAGAGGTGTCTTGCAAGAGATTTCTCTATTTCTTCAAGCTCTGTGTAGAAATCTTGTTTGTATATTTTTATATCTAAAGTCTCTTGGTTCTTTATTTTTATGCACTTTGCCTTAGCTTTTTCAATGTTACCCAAATAGTTCTCAAAATCTAATTCAACAATGGAAGAGGAGGATATAGACTTAGCTGCAATGTCTGCAGTCTGTCTTGATTTGAATACTCCAGTTGTTCTGAGAATAATTTTATTCTTGGTAAAGTTCATAGATGTCTTTCTTTGCCTTTTTAATTTATTCGTCATTTTTCATGTTTTTTCTCCCCCCCCCAACAAAATTCTCCACAATGAACTCGTTATTAGAGCAGCGTCATGCAGTGAAGTTTTGCGTCAAACCGTGAGCGAGACCGATATCTTGATCGAGTTGCTTATGGGAGTGATGCCATGTGTCAATAAAGTGTTTTTGAGTGGAAAAAACTGTTCAGGAGAGAGAAGAGCAAGTTGAAGATAAGCATAGGTCAGGACGTCCTTCAACGGCAAAAAGTGAAGAAAATTTAGTGAAAGTGCGAAATCTTTTTTAACTTAAGCTAAAAAAAAAAAAAAAAAAAGTTGTCTGCATTTGTCCAGCAATCACTGAACCAAGGAGGCTCCATCACGACAACGCGCCAAGCCAATTCGCCTTTGCTGCCATGGACTTCCTGACCAAACATGGCATCACACAGCCTCCCAGCCACCCCATAGCCCAGATGTCACTCCTTCAGACTTATATGAGTGTGTCACATTTGCATGAATGTGACTTCAGACTTGTAGGAGACTTGTATTCCTCTTTCTCTAAGTGAAAAGCATCATAAAAGGAGGGCACCACAGCTCGATCTAGGCCATTCAAAAGGCTGTAATAAGGAAGCTGAAGAGCATTCCAGGGAGCCTTCAGTGATTTGCAGTCACTGGAAACGCTGTGTTGTTGCAGAAGGGACTTTTTTAATTCATTCTTACTACTTTCCGAACAAACCCTGTACACTGTGTGTAATGTATGTAATGTGTGTTCATGTATAAGCATACATGAACGTATACATCCCATACATACCTGTACTTCGTAATCCAGTCCCTATAATGGAAGAGTACCAAAGACAGTTAATCAAATATGCTGGGTTTGGCAAGTAGTCATCAAATATGCAGCAAACTGGAGGAACTGAACATCTATAGAACATCTATATCTATTGTTGTTTAACTTCTAAATTAAATCTATGAACAGTTTGCATACAAATAACTTAATGAAGGCTGAAAAGCCACGAAAAAGACATTCTAAGTCTTGTGTGAGTTCTCAGTAGATTATTGTGAGGTATAGCATAATTACTGGTGATCCGTCGTTGGTGTACATATAAACAACTGTGGGAGAGAAAGAAAAAAGTAGGCATCATGAACAAAAATGCACAAATTTTCAACTGGTTTCTTTGAAAACGATGAAGCAGTACTGACAAGGAATTTTCCCTGTAGGCCAAACATTATGCTTAATTTAATGCACATTTTGCAGTGATATAGAAGAACATGAGAATGAAACATTCTGTGGAAAAGTGACAAACGATGGTTCTTCATGATAGTAATATACTTGCTCAAACCCTCATTGCCATACAGCAATTTCTAACATCCAGTAATGCACAGTTAGGCCTCTCGTCATCATTATCAGCAAGATTTAGTTTCTTGGAAATAGTTTTTCTTCAGAATGAAAAAGAAGCTAAAAATACTTTAACCTGTACGGAAAGTACATTCAAACTTGTTTTTGAGCAGTGGATAGGGACTGCATAAAAAAAAAATTGCACAAAACTTCCCGAGTACCTATAAAAAAGTTTTTTTTTTTTTTATGGGGTGACTAGGGACCATATAAAAAAAGTCTCACCTCGCCAAACCTTTTAGAATCTGATTTAGAAAATACACATGCCAACATTTCAAAATATTTTATTTACATATGTACTTATTTTACACATACAAAACTTTTCGAAACGTATAACCATTGCCCTCCGTAGTCTGACAACACGCAAACTTTCTTGTGGTAAACTGGTTCAAAATCCATTTCTCCACTTGAAGATATGGTACTTTTCCGTTTTGCCGGCACAAGCAAAAAAGTTGCCGAAAATGGTACAACCGATGCCAAACTGAATATCCTCGCTGGTAACCTTTTACACCTCATTTTCAAAACAAG